AACGGAAGTGTTTACAGTTGATGGGTGGCTGCATACTATCCACTTGTATGTTCTCACTCTTGCAACATGCGGACTGGAACATATAGCGGGACACAACATGCATCACTTAGCACAAACACTCGTGGCGAGACACCGAACGCCCTGGAGCAAAAGCTTGAGAGATAAAGACGAGTCCTGAGAAGTTTTGCCACTCAATGTGGCAAGGTCATGGGACCGTACAACTCAGAAGTTATGGAGGCTCAAACAAACCAACGCAAAGCGACTTTTTGGTGGGCAGCCTCAATATGAAGTTGCGCGCAGCATCAGAAGCAACACCTGCAAACCACATTTTTTTCTGCAAAAAAAACGCTCAAACTTCATCCGCCAGCATTACAAATCACGAGATTGCCACGCAAAACGTTAACAAGCATCTAGTGCTTCCTCCCAGCTGGACGCCGCAAAACCATTCAACGCATCACTTGTCACAGTTAAGAGTGTCCGCTTTAGAAAGAACATCATTCTCCACGAAGAGCAATCCATGGCGCACTGGCAGCAGCAACGAGCACGGCATTCAGACACTTGTGCAGGAAATGGGTTTGCACGCAAAAGACTGCAGAAGGATCACAGCAATAGCCCAATCCAGAGATCAAACGCGCACAACGCGTTCCGATAATGGTCCAAAGCTTTTTGGCGCGCAAGACAGAAAATGTATGCTGAGGAAAACCACAGTGTTAACATCAGAAAACATAATCCCAACCACAACTGCGACCAGAACATTCAGACCAGCGCACCAATCCTTCCTCTTTTCGGCGGTCGCAACAAGGGAACAATCGGACACATGGGAGGGCCTTCACCTTCCAAGGTTTGCCTTTAAAGACGGGGGCAAACCTTGCCAACGGCGACAGCGATCCGATCTGCAAGGATAATGTAGCGGAACTCGGGGCTGATGGTTCACCTGGCCTGGCGGGCCTGTGGTTTGGTCGTGCTCTGTTCATGCCGGGCTTGCCCTTGCCGAAGCCGGACCTGTATGTCCGAAACCGATGCTTAGCTGCTTGGCCCTCCCCCCGTCTCTTTGCAAGGGCCGGGCTGGTCTTTCTTTGTTACGATCCCCGTATGTATGGCAGGGATGACTCGGGCGATAGGCGGGTCACTTGTGACTTCTGTCGGGTGTCACTTGTGACTTCCCGAGAGGCGCCTCACTTGTGACTTCTCTCGGGTGTCACCTGTGACTTCTCTAGCCGGCCAATCTGCAACACCTCTCAGCAAAAATGCATGTCAGCCTTGCATCTTGGACTTTCTCGCACGGGCTCGCGGTTTGGGCTCAGGGTTCAGACGGTCATGGAATCGGGGTCTAGCCTCAGGGTTCAGGGTTTAGGGTTCACGGTGTAGGGCTTGGGGGTTTGGGTTTAGGGTATCTCCATTTAGGGTTTAGGGCTTGGCAACCAACATCTCCTTTTAGGGTTTAGGGTGTGGCAACCAGCATCTCCTTTTAGGGTTTAGGGTTTGGCAACCAACATCTCCCTTTAGGGTTTAGGGTTTTCCCACCAACATTTCCTTTGAGGGTTTAGGGTGTGGCAACCAACATCTCCTTTTAGGATTTAGGGTTTGGCAACCAACATCTCCTTTTAGGGTTTAGGGTTTTCCCACCAACATTTCCTTTGAGGGCTTAGGGTTCGGCAACCAACATCTCCTTTCAGGGCTTAGGGCCTTTTGGGGTTTAGGGTTTGGCAACCAACATCTCTTTTTAGGGTTTAGGGTTTGGCAACCAACATCTCCTTTTAGGGTTTAGGGTTTGGCAACCAACATCTCCTCTTTGGGTTTAGGGCCAGTTAGGGTTTAGGGTTTGGCAACCAACATCTCCTTTTAGGGTTTAGGGTTTTCCCACCAACATTTCCTTTTAAGGTTTAGGGCTTGGCAACCAACATCTCCTTTTAGGGTTTAGGGTGTGACAACCAACATCTCCTTTGAGGGTTTAGGGCTTGGCAACGAACATCTCTTTTAGGGTTTAGGGGCTTGGCAATCAACATCCTTTCAGGGTTTAGGGCCTTTTCGGGTTCAGGGTTTGGCAACCAACATCTCTTTTTAGGGTTTAGGGTTTTCCCACCAACATTTCCTTCGCCAAAGAAATCAGCTGTCCACAAAATGACCAGCACGACAGACTGCACCCCCCAAAACCAGAGCCACAAGGCCTCAAACCTTGACCCCCCCCCCCCCCCCCCGCCTCATGCCCACAACCCTGCACACCTGCTACACCTCTGCTGCCTGAACACTACGGACTCCTTGCCCTAAAACCCCCTTGGCCCATTCCCGGAGTTCTTAGTCCGTCCTCTACAATTCTTATTTTAAAACTTGATGTCTTAATTTTCATGGATTGTTTGTGTGAGGGTTTTCCCTCTGCTTTGGAGGGGAGGAGGTGGAAGAGGGAGGAGAAGGGAGAGGAGAGCGAGGGAGGGCCGCCGCAGAGACTGAGAAGTCACAAGCGACACCGGCACAGAAGTCACAAGCGACACCCGATAGAAGTCTCTACCGACTCGGGCGGCCCCACCCTCGCTGAGTGCAGAGCTCCAGCTCCTCTTCTTCTGCCGGGCGCCTGCTCAATGGCTCATGGGGCTCAGTAAGCCAGCTACTTATTCTTTCACGGCTGCTGCAATAAACTGAACTTCTAAGATTCTTGACGTGCGACTCTGCAAATTGAAGGCTTAAAGAGTTCAAAACCTCAGGTTTTGAGAAATAAGGACATGATGAAAGTCTTATATTCGGTCCCCTTGTTCAGGATTCTGTGGCTTGCGTCAAAGATGTTGATCTGTTGATCTTTTGTTGTCGCACATGTAGCCATCCTTTAGCACACATGGAAGGATGGCTGGTAAGGTACTAGCATTCGCGATCTGGCCACACTCGCTCGCCGGCCTTCCGCATAGCCGAGGGCGCGCCATGTGCGAACTAGGCACCTTGAACGACTCCTGTCTGCACGCGCCTGGCGGATCACCCTGTTTGGCCAAAGTGGAAAACACTTGCATCGGCAACTCTGTGCTGTTGAGAGGGGTCTAGGCACTATGCATGCAGGTGAGAAATACAGGTCAACAGCTCTAAGCACGCACGCAAGCCGCTGACACTTTTTCCCTTGTTTGTCATCTGCCAGCAGGTGGGCATCTTGGGCCCCTGCCGCAGGGCCACTGCGTGGACAGCCGCACGGGATGTTGACCCTTGATCTGCTAGGCCCTCTATGTCCTGGCTGTTAGGCCAGTAGGCACTGTGCAAATCCCTGTACAAAATCAGAGCACCGCAACGACCATCCACGCGGCCACGCGGGTGAGATCTCGCGCGGGGGCTTCAGTCAGTCAACAAGACCTTCTATCTCGGTCTCCTGCAAGGAAGCATCCACCTGAACGGATTTCAGGGGCTGACGGCTCAGGTTTGCGGCTCGTGGTTCAAGGTATGTTTCTGGAATCCCAGCGTGGGGAGGCTGCAGAAAGCCAAAGCGAGCTGAAACAAACCTTTGAAGTAGGACCTGCAGTGCATCATGACACGTACCTTTATGCCCACCCAAAACAACTGGCTCCCCGTTGTTGGTCTGACATCTACAGGCCGAAAGCCCTGGCCTTGAAGGATTTGGGTGAGGCACCGCCGCCAGGACAGCCCTTCCCAGGGCCAATCAATCAGCATTCCCATCCAAGCGAGATTTATCCGAATCTGGCCCTCGGTATTGCGTCAAGACATGTCAAGACTGCATTGAGATCGATGGGTTCGTGCTCCATCCCGCCCCGATTTCAGGGGAGTTGTGTAATTGGGTCAGTGCGGATATGCTCATGCCTGAAAGTTGGTGGGTACATCGCGGAAGCAGGAACAAAAAACAACGGCGGACCCATGCAACGCAACATGGGCCTCATCGAAGAAGCCGCATGCTTCTGCGACGATGTCCATGGATCGCTGGGCATATCCTTTCCCACGGGCAACAAAATCGGTCCAGGAGGAGCAGTGATGACCCTCCGTGGCCTGCAATGGAATTCCACGTCGCGGAGATCTGCAAATCAGATATGGCTAACATGCGAGACATTACTTATGAGTTCTCGTGCCACCGCTAGCCCAATAATGGGTGAAGCGGACATTCTACATCGCGCGCCTCCCGGAAGTCTAATGATCACTATCCAACGCCAAACTCTGGATAACCCCAACAAGGTGTGTGGGAGGTGGTTCCTAGGAGCTTGGATCCCACGCAGCAAGACCAAGGCGCCGGGCCTGTGGCCCCAAGCGCCAGAGCCAACCTCAACTTGGGGTTTAGGGTTTAGGGAAACCCTAAACCCCAAACCCTGAACCCTGAACCCTGTGCGGCATGCGGAGATGTGTCTAAAGGGTCAACTTCGAGACATGGTCTTGTCCCTGTCTGGCAGCGAGGAGCCTGAGTGCCAGGCTCAACATCCCACCCAGCAGGAGAAAGCCTGGCTGTGCTTGGGTGGGAATTGATAGCCTGAAACTCCCCAAACAAAATGATTGGCGCCTGCCTGATGTCAGAAGCTCCAGGCAATTGCCAAAACGACCTCAGCTGCTGAGCGTTGCTTTCAGCCATGACATAGCTGGCCCCTTCTTAAAGTACCCATGCAATCAAGCTCCAGAACACGCAACACTTTAAGTGCCCAGCTCGAAGTGTCACCCAAGCCCAGATCGGACATGTTCTCCTACGAGAATTTGCCTAGTTGTAGCGTGGCTTTGACGCTCGGCTGCGGGCAGGCACAAAGCATCACAAGCACTTGAGAACCGATGATTCAAGGGCGACCGTCAGTTGCGGCAAATTCTACTATCTACTTTTGTCTCTGCGCCCTGCTTCGCAGTCAAGCCTCGACAGTCTCGACCTCACGGCGTCATCTGGCCTGCGTCGCTCTTCCGTGCGCCTGGCCGAAGGACCGGTGAACTTGAAGGCCACTCCGCACGGCAGGCGAAGATTTTCCTGGGACCTCCTTGGACCCTTTGCAGATTTGCAATCCTCCGTGATGTACAAGACCTCCCTCGTCATGGAACGGTGTTCCCTACGTGCATGGAAACCCAGATCCTGTCGCGGAGCATGCTCTGAAGGGGTCCACAAGGAAGGTGTCCTTGCTCTTTTCAAAGATGCTACTCGCGATGTCCTTGCAGCTCTGCCAGACTGCACGCATTGCAAGTATCGATCGGTCTGCATCCATATCGCCGATCATATGAAGGATGTCACAGGCAGATCCTTGTTGCCCGGCGATCCAAACTTCGATGAGGCGGGGACGAAGTGTCAGGTACCACTCCAGGTCTGCTTCCGCAAAAGCGCGCAGGGCTTTGACTGCTGCTTTTCGGCATGCGTCATTGGGCCCACAAGCCTCCAACAAAGCCTGCACGCAAGCCTCCCTGAACCTCCCAAGTAGATGTGGGCCACGGATGGCAAAAGCCAGACAAATCTCAACACGAATTCCATCATCTGCATGGCGAAGCCAGTATATCATATCCTTGATAAGGAGGTGCCGGACTGCTTTGGCCTTTGCTGTCTGAAAGCATTGTCCAGCCCAGAAAACCAAAGTTCGCTGGGCATTCTTTGCAATGGTCTCGTGTGGATGTGAACAATGACACCTCAACCTCCGAGCAAGAAGGATGGCAGATGCAGGCCATGCTTTGTACCAAACGTTGAGGCCTTTGATGAAGGAACGGATGCCTGAACAGTGGCACTGAGCAGGGTTTCGGCATTTTGATTTGGGGGTGTTCCAGGAAACTGGCTCTCTCGAATATTCATTCAAGGCCGGCTAGCAAATGGCCTCGAGCACTGGCACGTGGCCGTGCAAGTATGTCCAAGCGGGACCGTTCTTGGCTTTGTAGGGAGCGGGTGCGAGGATTCGCCAACGTATGGCGACAAACAAACCTTTCGAATGGACACCAATTACCGAAAGACGCGGCAAAATCGCGCCGGCAATCATATGAATCGCCGCATTGTGAAAAGCTATTTTGGGCTGCTCCAATCTGGGCCCTCTTTGGAAAGCCCCAGCCCCTGAGAACCTTCACATCCTGCACCGAGGAGGCGTAGCCTGTGCCCCACACCTGGAAGAAACCCCTGCAAAGGCCTGTGGAACACACAAATTGCAGAAAACTTTGCACACACTTCCTATCCCAGCCCCCTTACTGAATCATGAAGGCTGCTCTGCCTGCTGACTGATCGTCGCCCCCCATCCTTTGCCAGAAGCCTTCTGCGCCAACCGTCTCATTCATCTCATTCCCGTTTCCAGACATGAAGAGCATGGGCCTGCACTCTCGGGCTCTGAGCTGACTCGCGCATCTTTTTCAGGACGAGGCCCCGACCAAGAACACTCCGCCAACCTCAGCAAATGGCCTACCAGCACCTGCGCATCAGGGCAGGGCTCGGCAAAATGAGGCAAAATGACGCAAAACGAATTTCACTGGCCTTCGTGCGCATGCAATCCTGGGAGTCTCTGCATGTAACACGAAGCGAAGCATAGGAATGTACCTTAGCACACATATTGGCTATCTTCTGAATCCTGCTCGTACATATTTGACCCTCCGACAAGTCTCGCGCACACACACACACACACACACAGAGCCACACACACACAGCCACACACACACACACACACACACACAGAGCCACACACACACAGAGCCACACACACCACACACACACACACACACGTACCACACCACACCACACACACACACACAACACACACACACACACACACACACACACACACACACACACACACCCCAACGCACACACACACACACACACACACACACACACACACACACACACACACACACACACACACACACACACACACACACACACACACACACACACACGCGCACACGCACGCGCACGCGCACACGCACACGCACACGCACACGCACACGCACCCGCCCACACGCTCACACGCGCACACGCGCACACGCGCACACGCGCTCACGTGCACACGCGCACACGCGCACACGCGCACACGCGCGCACGCGCACACGCGCGCACACGCGCACACGCCCGCACGCGCGCACACGCGCACACCACACGCACAGCCACGCACACACAGAGCCACACACACAGCCACACACACACACACAGAGCCACACACACACACACACACACACACACACACACACACACACACACAACACACACACACCACACACACACCCACACACACACAACAAACACCCACCACACACACACACACACACACACACACACACACAACACACACAACACACACAACACACACAACACACACAACACACACAACACACACAACACACACAACACACACAACACACACAACACACACAACACACACAACACACACAAACACACACAACACACACACAACACACACACACACACAACACACACACAACACACACAACACACAACACACACACACGACACACACGACACACACACACACACACACCCACACACACCCACGCGCACGCGCACGCGCACGCGCACGCGCACGCGCACGCGCACACGCACACACACCCGCACGCGCACGCGCACGCACACGCGCACGCGCACGCGCGCACGCACACGCACACACACCCGCACGCGCACGCGCACGCGCACGCGCACCCGCACGCGCACACGCACACGCACACGCACACGCGCACGCGCACGCGCACGCGCACACGCACACGCACACGCACACGCGCACGCACGCACACACGCACACACACACACGTGTGCAACAAACAGCAGTTCCAGTAATGTCCTAGTAAGTTAAGATCCTTGACCCTATCCCTTGTGCCCAAGCTGCTGAAAGGTAACTGGTCAGCGTATCTGGAAACCTTGGATCCGCACGCTGGCACAGAACACGTCATGAAACACCACATGCCCAGCACGTACAACATGCATATACGCGCATGAACACGCTTCATGAAGCTATCACGAGGACTCCATCGACAAACCCACCACATCTCAAGTAGTGAATTTGCTCTCGAATGAGAAAGCCGGTGTATGTGCCTTGCTACTGTGGGCTCTGCTGGGGCAGGACAAGCGACTCACCCACTGCGGCGAAGACTCTCATCCACGATGGAGCCTGACATAGAAACTGTTGGATAAGGCCCCAGTTCTGGCAGAATGATAATCATCATCATATAAACATAATATTAATCACAAAAACAAGAAATTCAACAAGAATAGCAATGGTGCATATATATATAGAATATTTTTTTATTTGTTTAGGGTTCCTATTCATGTAAAAGGCTTCCCATTAACATTGATCCGGTTCCGATAAATATTGATAGGATGCCTTTGAATTCAATAGAGGATTCCTATTTATTGTCATAGGATTCCAATAACGTTTCATCGGGTTCCTAGTTCTTTTAATCAGGCTCCGACTCATGTAATAAGATTCTTATCAATTTTAATGGCGCTCTTATTCATGTTCATGGAATTCGTACTAACTTTAATAGGGTTCTCATACATGTTAAAGGGATTCCTATTGGTTTAGGCTCATATGAATTTGAATAGGATTCCTATTACTTTTTCTTAAGGATTCACAGCATTTTTGTAGGAGTCCTATTGGAGTAGGATTCCTCTTCAGTTTAATAGGATTCCTGTTAATTATAATGGCGTTCTCATTAAGTTTAATAGGGTTCCTATTCATTCTACTAGGCCTCCTATTTAACTTTTATACGATTCCCATTAATTTTAATAGGGTTCCCATGGATTTAAATAGAGGATTTCAATTTGTGCTTATAGGGTTCCAGTAAATTTTCATAGTTTGCCTATGAGTTTTTTCATAAGGCCCCTACAAATTTTATAAACTATTGAATTTAATAGTATTAAGGGTTCTCAGTTCATTTTAAAGGGTCCCCTACTCAGTTTACTAAGATTCCAATTAAAACGAAATGAAACCTATGAACCCTATTCAATTTTCACACGAATAGGATTCCTATTTAAATTCATAGCATGCAGTCCACAATCTCGAGCAAACTGAGGTCACTTCTGCTGGAATTCCTAATGGGAGTCCCCGCCAAAAAAAAGACGACCGGGCGTTGTGGATCTTGGGCGGGGCGAGCGTATACATATACATATAATATATACATATAATATATATATATATATATATATATATATATGCTCACGCCCCCCCCCCCATGATCCACGTTTCTGCTTCGAAACAGATGGATCTTGGGAGGAGAGGGGGCCATGAGCTAGCGATAACAACACCGACAGGGCCGATAAAAACTCATATCATTTCAAGTCAGGCAGGTCATTTACATCAACAAGGTAGAAAATACCCGAAAAACTCATGTGTTTTTAGAAAACTCGAGCCGGCTCGAAATTTCCCAAAAAAACTGACACAGTAGGTCGCCCAAACACGAGGAGGCTCGAATTTTCCAAAAACAACCTAAATTTCAGGATCTATGGCTCCAGCAGCCCGGTAGATCCTGAAAGTTAGGGTTTTTGGGCAAATTCGAGCCTGCTCGAGTTTTCGAGACGTGGTGCTTCAAGAATTCTCGGAAAATTCGAGCCGGCTCGAATTTTCCACAAAAAACTGACACAGTGGGTCGCCCAAACACGAGCAGGCTCGAACTTTCCAAAACAAGGCCTAAATTTCAGGATCTATGGCTCCAGCAGCCCGGTAGATCCTGAAAGTTAGGTTTTTTGGGGAATATTCGAGCCTGCTCGAGTTTTCGAGACGTGGTGCTTCAACGTGGTGCTTCAAGAATTTTCGGAAAATTCGAGCAGGCTCGAATTTTCTAAAAAAATGCTGAAACCATGGCTGTGTGACCCCAAGGCCTCATAGATGACATAATTTAGGTTTTTTTTTGGAAAAATTCGAGCCTGCTCGAGTTTTCGAGACCTGGAGCTTCAAGAATTTTCGGAAAATTCGAGCCGGCTCCAAATTTTCAAAAAAATGCTGAAACCATGGCTGTGTGACCCCAAGGCCTCATAGATGACAGATTGTAGGTTTTGTTGGAAAATTCGAGCCTGCTCGAGTTTTGGTGACCTGGTGCTTTCGGAAAAATTCGAGCCGGCTCGAGTTTTCCCTATATCTCTTGAAATTCTGACTGCGGTAATTGATACAATTAGTAGCATTAGTTGTTAAGTTTCCCATATCCGCCGACCCCAGCGGTAGCAGGGCGGCGTCAGTGAAGACCCCCCACCGCCCTCACCGCCCTCACCCGCTCTCACAGCATGCTGCTCATGACACCTTGAATTGGAGTGTTTTTGCATTGTTTGGCTTCAGTGCATGCCCAAACCCCGCCACCCATCGCCCTCACCCATGACGCCTTGAATTGGACCTTTGACCCCCCCCCACCCCATCCATTCAGGTGGTTTAAAGGGTCCAGTGCCCGACCACCCCCCCCCCCTGGACTCCCCCCACTCCCACAACCCCCCCTTTCCCCACCCCCCCCCCTTTCCCACCCCCCCCACCCCCCCACCCCCCCCCACCCCCCCCACCACCAACCCCGGGGCCTCGCCCCTAATCTCTTTGTTTTAAGGAAAGCAGTCATTGCCCGCCCTGACCGCCCTCACCACCGATTCCCCCCCCCGACCCCCCACCCCCCCCATATTTTGCTTGCTTCTGAACAAATCTCCCCCCCCCCACCCCCCCCACCCCCCCCCCCCCCCTCCAACCCCCCCACCACCCGGCCCCCCCACCCCTCCACCCCCCCCCCACCCCCCACCCCCCCCCCCACCCCCCCCACCACCCCCCCCCCCACCCGGCGCACCACCCCTCCACCCCCCCCCCCCCACCCCCCCACCCCCGGCGGAAGGCAGGGGCATAGAGATGAAGAAGCGATGAGGGTGAGAGCGGGGGGGCGGGTATGATGAGGGCTGGGGAGGGTTGGTGGGAGGGTTAGGGAGTGGGAGTGGGAGAGGGTGGGGGCGGCTGGTGGAAAGGGGGGCCTGACTCATTTGACCAGCTCTGGTGAGAGGGTTAGGGCGGAAGGCAGGGTGGAGCGCAGTGGGTGGAGAGGGGAGGTGACGGTCGAGGGTTGGTGGAGTTGGGCGGAAGGCAGGGGAGTGATGAGAGCGGGGAGGCGGTTAGGGCGGGCGTGGATTGGAATCCCTCAAACTAGAGATTTGTCAGGGGCGGAGTAGGGGGTAGGGGCCTAGGAGGGAAGGGATGGGGGGGGTGGGGGGGGGTGGGGTTTCAGAGTCGAGGCGGCGGGTGGGGGTTGAGGGTAAGGGGTTGGTGTCAGGGAGGGGTGGACTGGGGCATAGGGAGGGGGAGTGATGAGAGCGGTGAGAGCGGTGAGGGCGGTCAGGGCGGGCATGGACTGGAATCCTTAAAACACTAGAGATTGGTCAGGGGCGGAGCAGGGGGGGCGAGGCCTACGGGTGGGGTGTGGCGGGGGGTGGGGTGGGGGGGGGGTGGGGGAGGGGGAGGGTGTGGGGGGGGTGGTGGGGTGGGTGCCTTGGACGCTTAACGTCTATTCTGCGCGTGCTCTTTGTTTTCTTGGATTCTTCCCGAAACAAATTCTGAAATTGGGTTCTCGTTTGAGGCGTTCTATCGGACCGCTTCTTGGAGGAGTTTTGACGTGAGGCCGCGGGGACGACACGGTCAAGGGAGAGGGTTCGGAACATTTTGCTGGGAGAGGGGCGTGGCGGGGAGCGTGACATTCCCTTGATGGGCAGGGGAGTGGGGACACGTGGATGTTCCTCCGTGCCCTCCGCGTTTGCAAGCCCTCCGCGCCCTCCGCGCCTCCGCGCCCTCCGCGCCCTCCGCGACCTCCGCGCCCTCCGCGCCCTCCGCGCCCTCCGCGCGCTCCGCGCTCTCCGCGCCCTCCGCGACCTCCGCGCCCTCCGCGCCCTCCGCGCCCTCCGCGCCCTCCGCGCGCTCCGCGCCCTGCGCGTCCTCCGCGCCCTCCACGCCCTTCCCGCCCTCCGCATGCTCCCCGCCCTCCGCGCGCTCCGCGCCCTCCGCGCCCTCCGCGCCCTCCGCGCCTTCCGCGCCCTCCGCGCCCTCCGCATGCACCCTCCGCGCCCTCCGCGCCCTCCGCGCCCTCCGTGCGCTCCGCACCTTCCGCGCCCTCCGTGCCCTCCGCGCCCTCCGCGCCTCCGCGCCCTCCGCGCCCTCCGCGCCCTTCGCGCGCTCCGCGCCCTCCGCACCCTCCGCGCCTTTCTCGTCCAGGACACAGTGTGCTGATGCTAAGGGCGCATTGCGTCTATTCTGCGGGTGCGTTGCGTCTATTCTGCGGGTGTTTCCTTTGTAAAGTATTTGTTTACAAGGCACGCACGTGCAGCATAGCCTTTAAGTGTCCGTCTTACGGGGGTGGGGGGGGGGGCTGGGGGGGTTGGGTGGGGGGGGGGGTTGGGGGGGGTGTGGGGGGGCCCAGCTCCCTAAATCCGACGCCCCCTTTCCACCCCCACCCACCCCCACCCCCCCCCGCCCCCGCCCCCCCCGCCTGCCCGCGCTCCACCCTGCCTTCCGCCCCAATGCGACTGTCTTGGGTCTGGGGTCGGCGGCACTGGCGGTAGCCATTAAATCGGGCAGCGCGAGGTCCCCAAAGGACCGCGCAAATGCGGACCTTTTAGCCCGGGTCGTCCCGGGAATAGCCTTGCTGGCCTCTGGCCTTCTGCGAAGCAGAATTAGGCCGGACGCCAGTGCCGCCGACCCCCGCGTGCCGCCGGTGAACGGTTTTTTTTTCATGGTTTTTTGCGTCGCCACGGAGACCCCCAGAGGGCGCGCATTATGAGCATCAGCGGGTCCAGCCCGGGACCCCCAGGCGCGCATCAGGAGCATCAGCGGCTGCCGGGGCGGGACCCCGGGGGCGCATCAGGAGCATGATGCCCCAAAGGGTGGGCATAAGCGACGTGTCTAGCCCGGGGCTAGGAAAAAGGGAGTTTAGGGGCCTTATAAAGTGCTTAGAAACGTTAAGGGAGTCTAGGAGCCTCAAACGCTTAGAGATTTGAAGGGAGTTTAGGGGCCTGAAAATGCTTAGAAACTTAACGCTTAGAGATTTTAAGGGAGTTTAGGGGCCTCAACATGCTTAGAAACTGCTCGCCCCGGGCTTTGCGTGCGCTGCCCGCCCATGGGTGCAGCCCCTTAAAATATGTTAACGGTAAATATGTAACTTGTGAGAAGAGGCCACGCAATGGTTTCAATCCAACAGCCGTTTTGTTCTTGAACCCTTGACAATGAACATAAGAACTACCTTTGTGTAATTTAAACTGAAACTATCAATGAGGATATCTTCGGGACTAAAAGTTTCCATTACAAATAAATAGCATAGATAATTTAATTACATATACATACCTTCAACTTGTATTCAATCAAGTAGTTCAAAAATATATGAATTGTCTTTACTATTGTTCTTCTTCCTACCTTTCACCTGCTTAACTGCTTTATCTACATCATTATTCTCAACTAACTTTCTTATCTCTTCGTAAGCATTTTGTTTAAGTTGCTTCTCTATCTTCGATTTCTCTATTTGTTCGTATGTTGTTGCTTTCTTATGAAACGCTATGAATATTATGTCGATTATTGCATCAAACTGTTGTTCAAAACTATTCTTCGGTTATAGGCAGATGTCCTGCTTTGTTTTTAACATTGCCTATATCTTCATAAGGATGGTTTTGTAGAGGGTCTAATGTTGATTTCTTTGATGTTATACTTCCTGATAATCAAACATGATGATGGTGAAGCTGCTGCTGATGATGATGAGAATGATGATGTTGATGAGGATGTTCACGCTGAGGCTGATGTTAATGATGATGTTGCTGATGATGTTGATGAAGACAGAGTCGGGTCTTGACGTAAAAACGCTCCCCCCCCCCCAACCTTAAGGTATTGATTTGTCAATTTTTGCCCCCGCCCACCCCCCCCCCACCCCCCCCACCCCCCCCCCACCCCCCCCCCCCCCCCCCCCACCCCCCCCCCCACCCCCCCCCCCCACCCCCCCCCACCCCCCCCCACCCCCCCCCCCTCCAAACCAAGGAATTCTTGGATGTACCCCCCCCCCTTCCGCCCCCCCCCCCCCCCCACCCCCTCCACCCCCCGCCCCCCCCCCCACCCCCCCCCACCCCCCCCCCTAATAAGATAGTCAATGATACGCTGTTTTCTGGCCGTGGTCGGCCCCCTACTGCTAAAGCAGATTAAACTCCAGCTTCGCTACGCGAGCTTTCGTGACATCTCTACCGCTTTGAGTCCCAGCAGTGTATCTAATAGAGCCTTTTTTGGTAAATCCCGTCAGGACTCTCATACGCTAATTTAAGTCCTTGCGTGTCCGATAAAAATGTCTCTGTCTTTGCGATTTCGTCTGAAACTTCATTATGTAGTCTGCTTCTTGTGTTAGGTGCTTTATTTGAAACCCCTTCATCTCTTCTCTTATGTTTATGCATTATACAACGTTTCATCAAATATTTTCTATGTAATCAATGAATATTGTTGAATTTCAAGAAGGTGTATATTGAAAGCCATTATAGTGAATAGCAGAGACTAGCAAACCACACAAAACCAAATCCAGAAACGGATTCTGTTTGTAGAGTTCTGTTGTTTAAGAGTGTAGATAATCAATAGCAAGTTGTAGCTTCAGACATGGCAAGACAGGAAAGCATCGTAAATACCGGTGTTCTTTCACTTCAACAATATGTGTAAGTAAGCACACGTGCAGAAGGACAAGTAAGAAAAGGATGCATATGGATCATGGGGGGGTGTGACCATATATATATATATGTATGTGGCACCTGCTGCCTTCAAGCACTCCGACACCAAGATGAACAGGCATGTCGTGATAGCTTGAATTTTGCTGTTGGCAGATACACGTCTCCTCAAGCTGGACAATTCTTTGATGGCTGGATGGCCATTTCACCAGTCAAAAGCAAGACACTTTCCATCGCCGCGGCCTCCGGCAAGTTAATCGTGTCGCGAGTCTCTACCTCACGAAGCAAAAGCCGATCATGCACGCAAGACAGCAAATCGCCTGCAGCTCTCGTTCCTCGTCTAGGCCGAACTCCGAAGGGCATGCCGTTGATGCCGTGGAAAGCCTGCCGAATGAAGAGCTGCGCAGCCTGTGCAAACGGCACAAGAACCAGCCTGGGAGCTCGCTTGCTGAAATCAGCTGGCTCCTCTTCCAGGTGAACAAAAACAAAATCTGGCCGGCTTCCGGGTGACATGGCCTCCAATCGGTCCTTGTTCGTATCTTCAAGAGAACTTGACCTTAGTCACTCGGACCATAAGAATCGAAGCACAAACACGCGGGTCGTACTACGATGCAGACTCGGCTTTTTCTGCTTTGGTTAGATTTTCTCTTGCAAGCGAAACTCTGTCCAGAATGTCATTCACAAAGCCTCGAGCCTAGAGAAGATTCTCGTAGCTTCTCTCTCGGATTCCTATTATGACACGCGCATCTCCCTTCTTCATTTTGCTCCACCTGCGGAGCTGTTTTCACACGAGCCACTAAACCACATACATACACTAGGACACATTCCCACCCCCTGAAAGATGATTCGCGCCATCGTCTGCTTTGATCTTGAGCGGATCGGCAATCTTGTAACTATCTCGAAGTGCCTTGCTTGACCATACAATTCTTATGTGTGCTAGTGCTTTTCTGATGATTTTCGACATTTCTTCGCACAACGCTATGTAATCCAAAAACACAGAAGACAATCAATCACGAATGAAAAGCCCCGAGGAAATGACAACGCGTGCCATCAACGAACAAGTTCTTATATACTGCAGATCACCAAGGAGACTTCTCCAACTGGTCAGCATCTCCATTGGAGCATGGCGACCGCAGAGGAGCACATAGCGGCCCTATGGGGGAGCCAGACGCAACTAACCCCGGCCCCAGCCAAGCTTGGCAGGGTGATGGCAACAGAATTGGAAGAGGACACAGACGGGATTGCTGAAGCTGCTGGTACAGATGATCTTGAGGCACGAGTTCGCCATACAAATGCTGCGCACATTCTGCCTCTACTTGCTCACCCGGAAGTCCTGCTCATAAGTCTTGCACGCTTTCAGTATTCTGGCGAAAGAATCAGAAAGCGACGTAATCGCGTCACGCTTCTCAAATGTGGGCAACTACCGTTTTTTGATCAACGAAGAAGACGAGCCCCCACCTCCAGTGAGCCAGCTGGAGAGAAAGCTGATCAGCGCACGACTCTTGACATCTCCTACAATCTCATTGGCGGTATCATCCACATTGGTGACAGGGCTCATACTGGTCGCTACCGAGCCTTTGAGGTTCACAACAAAACGCTGGATTGCACTAGGAAGTCCAGGTATACTGACGGCATTTCGATGCTCAGTGTTTTTTCCGTGGTGTGCCGCGCTTTGGCGCCTCACTGCTCCCGGCGAACCTAATACAGCCCATAGGCCCAAAGGACATCGCCCGCTAGACTCGAGACTCTCGCGCAGCGTGCGAAATGAAAAACACACTGCAGATTTTTCCTTTGATAAAAGACATGAAGAAATGCACAATGTCCAGCTAAGCCCAGACGAACTTAACCGAGCGGCTGTTCTTCTCCCTCAGAGGCAGGCAACGCTGTGGATGCCAGGGGCGGCCTAAAAAACGGCGACTCAGAATGGCCCAAGGCCTCGATTTCGGACCACGAACAAACCCGGAACAGGCAGTCCTTGGAGCGCAGTCCTCGGCAGAAGCTGCCTGGCAAAATCAACCGACACAGCTTAGAAATTTGGGTCTTCGATCCTGGACAGAAGGAGCCTCCACATATAATGACCTGAGGTGAGCTGCGACGTCAAAAGCAACCAAGTCTTGGAGTTCAAGTTCTTCTCTCAGAGACATACCCAGTGTCCTCCCAAATGGCGCATGCACAAGCGCAAGCTTTGTCCTGCCACGCACATACAGCATGCACGGTGCCATCCCCGCTTGACAAATCTTCTGACGGTTACATCAACAAGCATCAAGGCTTCCCCATCCAGGTTCTCTCGAAAACAGCAATCGCCCACCTGTGTATAGATCAGCGCCTCCCTTCGGAGTTTGCTCTCACCTCACGCCAGAGAAATCGTGAGTGCAAACTCTCGCCAACAGATGGTGGCGGATCACACCTCCAAAGAGCGACCGGATCACATCAAAGCAAGTGGCCATGTGTGAAGTGGATATGTGAGTTACCTTGGGCACGTGACAGCTGCAATGTTGTTGGCGTGTTGATGCTACCTTGGGCGCTTCGGAACATGGTGGCCTTCCCTGGACTCCAAGGAAGTCCTCGAGCCGAGGGAAAAAAGCAGGAACTGCGGAACTGCGCGGGCTGTCTGCAGGGTTCCGGGCGGTTTTTGGCGACTTTAAACGACTGCACGGTTGAAGAGGGCTACTGCCCCACGCTCTCCCCCCCAGCACGTCTGCAAATTCTTGGTCAGTACAGAAACCCTTTCTTTAGACAAATTAAGCACCCCCAGCTGGAGCCGCTTGGGGACAAATCATGAACCCCCCAGAAATAGCTGTTTGGGGAACAAAGGGAGCCGAACGGGAGCCGGATGAGAGACAACATGAGACAACAGTCCCAGGTGGACGTCACGGCATCCAGTCTGCTCAGTTCTTCTGCTGGCTTTTGCAGATTCGAAACACCCAGCGTCGAGACACCTGGGAGACAAACGGGAGACCATGGTTTGGACAGTAGCACCGTGAGAAATACAAATGTGCATCACAGAAACCTTTTCGTAAAACAAATTCAGAACCCTAAGAACACCGAGCCAAAACTGTTTGGGGAACCCCGAGATAAAGCTGCTTGGGTTGCAAAGGGACAGCTTCCAAGCTTTGCTCACTTTACAAAAGGAGACAGGCTTGAAGGGTGACAACTTACAAAAAAGAGACAACCGGGAGACACAACTGTCGACCAGCGCCGTGAAACATCCAAATGTGCGGCTGTGATGAATACTGGAAGTGTCGGAAGTGTGTATTTTTTAGAGGCTGGCTTGGCAAAAGGGAGCAGTGCCCAAAAAGGGTTTATGGTCCTTAAACGACGGTAGGGGTTCTAGCACGACCCCAAATTGGACAAAGATGGACGAAGTTTGTAAAGTCCTGAGACCCCAAAACCACAACACCAAAGGAACCGAAGATATCAAACAAAGTCCACACACTATGCACACAATGACTTCGGTTTTGTGCCGCCCTCAGAACCGGAGCGGTGGTGAGTTGACTTAAGTTTTTTTGCTGCGGCTCTCCTGTCTACAAAGTAGGTTTGCCAAGTGGAGAACTGGCCGAAGGCACAAAGTAGCGGCCTGGATTCACAATGACTGCTCTTCGGCACTGACTAAAGGTTGCGCAAACCGGGCACCCATCTATACCAATAGTCGGCTTCGCACAGGTCCGAGCTGGTTGCAGTATCCTAAAGATGCGAATCAGCCTTACAGTGAGGATTGTGGCACATCGGTGCATGCTCGAAATTTTTTCTCACCACAAGAAAAGTTATTGCTGCATTGAGACTTGAGAGACTTGAGAAGCAGACATCGTGCCAACTTCGCTGGCTCATGGCTTGATGCGCCTGTGATAAAAGAGACTTGAAGCTGGAGATTGATACTTGTGTGTTGAGCTCAGTGACCTCAGCTGTGGATTTGTTTCACATATTGTTTTGATTTGATTTCATTTGTCTTTTGGTGTGTTTGGCGAGTTCTTGGGTTTTGGTTTTGATCTCTGACTACTCGTTGTTCGTGGTACAAAGGAAAGACCAGAAAACCGTACCACAGGCAAGGTCAGAAAAATGTTGGTCACTTGAGGGGAAAACACCATTTCTGTATATCTATATATTTAATATATATATATATATATATATATATGTATATAGACATCTGTATATCTATATACCTATATATCTATATATCTCTTTATATCTATATATCAAAATATCTATACATCTAGATATCTATATATCTATATACCTATATATCTATATCTATATGTCTATATATCTGTATATCTGTACAGCCACAGCCGGCAATGTTGCATGCCTGGTGCGTTTTTGAAGCGGGACTGCGCAGACATTCTTTTCATGCTCATCATTTGTCTTGGTACCCCGGCCCAACTCTACTTACAATATGTGCTTCGTGGTTCCAGGGGCCCCATATGAGCGAAAACGGACTGTTAAACTCAACCGCGTAACTTTGCAGACTATTGCGCCACCACTGGGACATAACAAGTCCCAGACAAATGAGACATGAGCCCCGGCGACGAATTAACCCAACCCGCAACAAGAGCAACAAGGGCTACATTTCAAGTTCAAAGTGTTTATGCCTTAGTTCACTTCCTTTGCATGTAGCGGCACTTTGATGCGCTCAGATGTGCTGAAGCTCTGAGAATTGCCGGTGCACTTTGAAGGGCCACGATTCACACAATGGTGAGAGAAGCGCGCGCAGATACTGAAAAATAGTTGAAGAAATCCACCCCCCCCCCCCCCCCCCCCCCCCCCCCCCCCCCCCGAGTTTTGAGAGCTGGATGATTCCAAATGCAGGAACCATTGAAATGTAGACTTGGTGCGAAAATCCTAAGATTTGTGCTGAAAGCACATGTTGCCTCCAAGTATAGGATCAACCAAAGTGTGCTTGCATGAAGACCACCCAATAACTGAAGCAGCGTGCCAGATAAGATTGGTAATGCTATGCAAGCTACAAGTATAACCAAGAAAGCTCACGAAAACAATGGGATAGTCTTCGATGCCAGATACAAGCAATGGGATCTCAGGTGTTGTTCATGACGATGTACCAGAGATAAGTACTCAAAGGTCGGCATCCAAACACGAATTCTTGCGCCGGTCTACAAATGTCTAACTTCTACGACTCTTTTGGCAAGAGCACCGAACCATTCGGCCGCAGCACCCGCATAGAAACGTCGATGAAAGAACCAACTTTTGCACTTTTCCAGTCTAATAAGAAGTCAATGCGTTCTCTTGCGGAGGGGAGTCTGTTCCTACGAGCAAAAGATGCTCTTTGCGTGGTGACCTTCCTCCAAAGAAAAACTACACGCACTTCGTGCTACAGTTCCCGCACTTGAGTTGCCTGTTGCCTGGGTTTCAATGGCCTCAAAAACATGTCCTTCGTTTTGGCGATGCTGCGGCAGCTAGGGCTTAATATGATGAGCGCATGCCACTTCAAACGCCCGACTGTGAGCCAAAGCCGGACAAGAAAAATCACAGCTCCACTACTCTCTCTCTCTCTCTCTCTCTGCCTGCCTGTGAACTCTGTCACGCTGCGCTGTCCAGGGGCGTCATGCTGTTGACTTCCCACCACGGCCAAGGTCACAGAAATGCTGTCGTGACAACCGCTTTGCAGTTCAAAGTCTGCGCTGTCAAGCTTTTAGCTTCGCGCTCTTTTGCTGCACAATGGCCTCCCACGAAAAGGGCTGGGCGCCATCCTCGCCAACAATGTGCACCGTGTTGAAGTTGTCGGGGATTTCTGTGTCTGCCAGAATGGCGTCGATGTCCGCTTTCTCCAGCACAAACTTCGGCTGGATTATTGCCTTTTTCGGGTATCTCGCCAAGGCCGCCAGTTGGAGGAGCTGCAGCTTCCACCCTTGCAAGGTGAAGAGTTGCTCCTGTCCCTCAGCGGACACGGCTCGAAACACCTCAATGGGGTGCTCGTAGCCGAGGTAACAGATGCCCTCGCACTGGTTCACTTTAACTTCCTGCCACACTCTGTTTAGCGGCTGGTTAACATTGCGGCCCTCGGGCTGTCTGTCTGGGATGGCTCGGCAGGCGTAGCCCACCGAGAACGGGTCCACGCGACCCATCCCGTACCCCATATTTGCGTCGCTCTCTTTCGGGCAGGGTGCCCAGCGCTTTGGCTGGACCTCCACTGCTTGCACGGGCTCTGCCTTGGCCGCAGCCTCCTTGGGCTCTGGCTTTGCCTGCTCCGCCGGCTCCTCCTGCTCCTCAACCTCCACAGCAGCTGGCTCCGAGTGCGAGTGCTCCAAGGGTTGTGGCCGGCGGCACCTGGTCGGGGATTCTTTATGGAAGAGGCTGTCATCCCAGATGCACCGGAGCAGACATGAGCAGACCAACCTCGAAGGTTGAACGGTGGCTGCCACAGCGGTGGCGAACAGCCGAGACTTCACTTTCGCACGAGGCTTGCGAGGGTTGCCTACCAGGCACACGTTGCACGCATCGCACGTCAGCATCCTGCCGTCAAGGAAGCAAACGCCGGCCTACCGGCTTCTGTTCGCCTGGCGCATGAGAGTTTTAACTCTTAACTTACAACAGCACTCGAACCTACCACGTGCGGCAGTGTTTGTTGCGTTGGCCCTGCGATGCGTGGCGTGTTCATGGGAGCTGGGGGTACTAGTCTCATGTTAGTAGCCGTCTCTGAAGCCAAGCTGCCTTCCTCCTGACTGCCTTGTGAGGATCTCTCCACATGCCAGTCGTTGCCATTGTGTTGCCAGGCACCTGCAGGTGCAAGCATTACTGGCCTAACAACGAGCACCACGTGAGAGCTGCCCCTTGAACCCACTCTGCAGAGCCTCGGTCCTCGCCCTTGCTGGACCAGTCCTTCCAGCTTTGCCAAACACCTCCGGTCAAGCGCTGCGGTTGCCATGGGCTGCACCAAAGCCCCCAACAAAACTCGGCTCTCCAAGGTGGCGCCTGCCCTTGCCAAGCGTCGGTGCATGATTGCGAAGCATGGCCAAGCACATGATCAGCCGAGATGTTGCTACACTCAAACTCCGCATGGCCTTGATCCTTGCGCCATGAGGACCTTCCATCGCGCCCGTGCCAGGAACCTGTAGTCACGGTTTTTCCAGAGAGGTCCGGAGAAGAGAGCGGACAGCGAAGCCCCACGACTCGCAGCTTTACCCCAAAGCCTCAGGCGTTTAACGGGGACGAGCGGTTGGCGGAACAATACTATGAGTATTGGGTTTGACTCCCTCTGCCTTTGCTTGCGATTCTGCGGAACTTGTGGGACCTCCTCGACCTCGGTCCGGACATGTCCGGACCCTCTTATGACTTTTGGCCGAAAAGAAGGTTCTTGGAGGCCTCCATTCATAGGCCTGGAGGGTTTTCGAAGTCTGTGGAACTCCGGCAAGTCATTGAAGGTCTCTGGATTTTTTCTAAGGAGGCTCCGGGACGTGGAAGCTCCTGCAGCCTCTGGGAGGCTCCTCAAGGAGTCGAACTCTAAAGCTTCGTTTCAGAAGTCGAAGCCGTTGGTGCAGGGGAAACCAACAAGTCATGCGTGGAGGCCCCTGGAAGTCCCCGAGGCTGGCCTGTGCTGGCCAAGCCACCAAGCAGATTTGTTCTCAGGTAATTGGCCAAGCCAGCAAACAAGCGCGAAACCTTCGTTCCAAGTGTTTTGTCGATCAATACTGGAGGCTCCACGGACTTTGCTCCCACACCCGGGATGCTTGGATCTCGTTTGTGTGGCCGACTGCTGGCGGCGGATCGATGTCCCTGCCTGGTCGCGTGCAGGCTCCCCTCGCATGCTGCACTGCACCTCGCATCTCCCCGTTTCTGGCAGAAGGACGTGACCGCCGTCGCTGCCCGCAGGATTGGAACAACCTCTGGGCTCCTGGAGGCCCCCTGGACGCGTGCGCGCGCGCACGTCTGTGAATCCTGATCTCCCAGGCCAAGGCGGCAAACAGTAAACAACATGCACTCGGGATGTGCCAAGTATGGCCTTCAGAGTGGTGCTGCTCTCCTTGGGACCACGGTTTCCCGCGGCCTTGTCGCATCATCATCATGACAAGTCAGCGAGGCCCCTGCGGTGAAAGAAGGATTATTGCTACTATTCTTATGGCCAATCTTGCTACGAGTACGAGGCCTTGATCCTGATGCCAGGAGGACCTTCCGCCGTGGCGCTGGTGCCAAGCACCTGTAGCCCACGGTCAAGCTAGGAAAGGAAGGGTTCAGGGGTTTAAGGGTCTAATGGGTCTAGGGGGCAAGGTTCAGTCATCGCTCTGAGACAAGCAACCGAACCCAGCTGAATCAGCCCACCACACGCACGCAAACCCCATCAAGCACATGCGGTAAAGCATCGCGACAGTACTCAAGCGGCCTTCAAAGTGGCGCTGCTGTCTTTGCTGCCATGACTCGCCTTGTCAGAACACCCGCCCACACGCACAACAACGCTGGGACCGCCGCCCCCAGACCGGGAAAGTGGATCAGGAACCTCAACCCTCCACCGGCCTTCGTCGTGGCCCCATCGCTTGGAGAGCTGAACTTGGGACCAGCTGGTGTCCGAGGCTTCACCTGACGCCAGAAGGTTCAGCATCAGGGAACAGACATGCAGAAATGAGGAACCGGCCTGTCTCACCCCACCAGTTTCCGGTCGAGCTGGACCAGCCGCTGTCCCACCGCTCGTGGCGAGCCATGGCTCACAGGTCTTGTTGGATCGATCAAGCGGTCCTTCCGCCGAGTGCTTTCAATTGAGATGCTCATCCGTGCTGCTGCGTGCTCAAGCATGTCATGCGCGCATGCGCAAACGAAGCTGGCGAGCAGGACGAGGACGGATGTTGCGGTAGGCATCTTGGCAATACGTCAATAAGGACGGGAAGTGCAATGAGGGAAGGCCGCATTTGTTGGCAAGTAGATCACATCTTGGTGAAAAAGACTGGCCCTTTTCAGGAGCCTCGGGTTTCGCGTTCAGGGTTTAAAGACAAATTCATATGCTGTTGCCCGCTTTCTTGTCATTTGTCCTGCTGCAACGTCAAAACCGGCAGCCATCGGAGATTTGGCCATCAAAGCTAAAGCCTGAAGGACCTCACATGACGATCCACGCATCGCGCTTCGCCGTAGAACAACTGTACTCTTCGCCTTCCAAGGAATCAGTATGTCACGCTGCGCTGTCCAGGGGCGTCATGCTTTTGACTTCCCACCACGGCCAAGGTCACAGAAATGCTGTCGTGACAACCGCTTTGCAGTTCAAAGTCTGCGCTGTCAAGCTTTTAGCTTCGCGCTCTTTTGCTGCACAATGGCCTCCCACGAAAAGGGCTGGGCGCCATCCTCGCCAACAATGTGCACCGTGTTGAAGTTGTCGGGGATTTCTGTGTCTGCCAGAATGGCGTCGATGTCCGCTTTCTCCAGCACAAACTTCGGCTGGATTATTGCCTTTTTCGGGTATCTCGCCAAGGCCGCCAGTTGGAGGAGCTGCAGCTTCCACCCTTGCAAGGTGAAGAGTTGCTCCTGTCCCTCAGCGGACACGGCTCGAAACACCTCAATGGGGTGCTCGTAGCCGAGGTAACAGATGCCCTCGCACTGGTTCACTTTAACTTCCTGCCACACTCTGTTTAGCGGCTGGTTAACATTGCGGCCCTCGGGCTGTCTGTCTGGGATGGCTCGGCAGGCGTAGCCCACCGAGAACGGGTCCACGCGACCCATCCCGTACCCCATATTTGCGTCGCTCTCTTTCGGGCAGGGTGCCCAGCGCTTTGGCTGGACCTCCACTGCTTGCACGGGCTCTGCCTTGGCCGCAGCCTCCTTGGGCTCTGGCTTTGCCTGCTCCGCCGGCTCCTCCTGCTCCTCAACCTCCACAGCAGCTGGCTCCGAGTGCGAGTGCTCCAAGGGTTGTGGCCGGCGGCACCTGGTCGGGGATTCTTTATGGAAGAGGCTGTCATCCCAGATGCACCGGAGCAGACATGAGCAGACCAACCTCGAAGGTTGAACGGTGGCTGCCACAGCGGTGGCGAACAGCCGAGACTTCACTTTCGCACGAGGCTTGCGAGGGTTGCCTACCAGGCACACGTTGCACGCATCGCACGTCAGCATCCTGCCGTCAAGGAAGCAAACGCCGGCCTACCGGCTTCTGTTCGCCTGGCGCATGAGAGTTTTAACTCTTAACTTACAACAGCACTCGAACCTACCACGTGCGGCAGTGTTTGTTGCGTTGGCCCTGCGATGCGTGGCGTGTTCATGGGAGCTGGGGGTACTAGTCTCATGTTAGTAGCCGTCTCTGAAGCCAAGCTGCCTTCCTCCTGACTGCCTTGTGAGGATCTCTCCACATGCCAGTCGTTGCCATTGTGTTGCCAGGCACCTGCAGGTGCAAGCATTACTGGCCTAACAACGAGCACCACGTGAGAGCTGCCCCTTGAACCCACTCTGCAGAGCCTCGGTCCTCGCCCTTGCTGGACCAGTCCTTCCAGCTTTGCCAAACACCTCCGGTCAAGCGCTGCGGTTGCCATGGGCTGCACCAAAGCCCCCAACAAAACTCGGCTCTCCAAGGTGGCGCCTGCCCTTGCCAAGCGTCGGTGCATGATTGCGAAGCATGGCCAAGCACATGATCAGCCGAGATGTTGCTACACTCAAACTCCGCATGGCCTTGATCCTTGCGCCATGAGGACCTTCCATCGCGCCCGTGCCAGGAACCTGTAGTCACGGTTTTTCCAGAGAGGTCCGGAGAAGAGAGCGGACAGCGAAGCCCCACGACTCGCAGCTTTACCCCAAAGCCTCAGGCGTTTAACGGGGACGAGCGGTTGGCGGAACAATACTATGAGTATTGGGTTTGACTCCCTCTGCCTTTGCTTGCGATTCTGCGGAACTTGTGGGACCTCCTCGACCTCAGTCCGGACATGACCGGACCCTCTTATGACTTTTGGCCGAAAAGAAGGTTCTTGGAGGCCTCCATTCATAGGCCTGGAGGGTTTTCGAAGTCTGTGGAACTCCGGCAAGTCATTGAAGGTCTCTGGATTTTTTCTAAGGAGGCTCCGGGACGTGGAAGCTCCTGCAGCCTCTGGGAGGCTCCTCAAGGCGTCGAACTCTAAAGCTTCGTTTCAGTAGTCCGGTCAGCAAAAAGGCGAAGCCGTTGGTGCAGGGGAAACCAACAAGTCATGCGTGGAGGCCCCTGGAAGTCCCCGAGGCTGGCCTGTGCTGGCCAAGCCACCAAGCAGATTTGTTCTCAGGTAATTGGCCAAGCCAGCAAACAAGCGCGAAACCTTCGTTTCAAGTGTTTTGTCGATCAATACTGGAGGCTCCAAGGACTTTGCTCCCACACCCGGGATGCTTGGATCTCGTTTGTGTGGCCGACTGCTGGTGGCGGATCGATGTCCCTGCCTGGTCGCGTGCAGGCTCCCCTCGCATGCTGCACTGCACCTCGCATCTCCCCGTTTCTGGCAGAAGGACGTGACCGCCGTCGCTGCCCGCAGGATTGGAACAACCTCTGGGCTCCTGGAGGCCCCCTGGACGCGTGCGCGCGCGCACGTCTGTGAATCCTGATCTCCCAGGCCAAGGCGGCAAACAGTAAACAACATGCACTCGGGATGTGCCAAGTATGGCCTTCAGAGTGGTGCTGCTCTCCTTGGGACCACGGTTTCCCGCGGCCTTGTCGCATCATCATCATGACAAGTCAGCGAGGCCCCTGCGGTGAAAGAAGGATTATTGCTACTATTCTTATGGCCAATCTTGCTACGAGTACGAGGCCTTGATCCTGATGCCAGGAGGACCTTCCGCCGTGGCGCTGGTGCCAAGCACCTGTAGCCCACGGTCAAGCTAGGAAAGGAAGGGTTCAGGGGTTTAAGGGTCTAATGGGTCTAGGGGGCAAGGTTCAGTCATCGCTCTGAGACAAGCAACCGAACCCAGCTGAATCAGCCCACCACACGCACGCAAACCCCATCAAGCACATGCGGTAAAGCATCGCGACAGTACTCAAGCGGCCTTCAAAGTGGCGCTGCTGTCTTTGCTGCCATGACTCGCCTTGTCAGAACACCCGCCCACACGCACAACAACGCTGGGACCGCCGCCCCCAGACCGGGAAAGTGGATCAGGAACCTCAACCCTCCACCGGCCTTCGTCGTGGCCCCATCGCTTGGAGAGCTGAACTTGGGACCAGCTGGTGTCCGAGGCTTCACCTGACGCCAGAAGGTTCAGCATCAGGGAACAGACATGCAGAAATGAGGAACCGGCCTGTCTCACCCCACCAGTTTCCGGTCGAGCTGGACCAGCCGCTGTCCCACCGCTCGTGGCGAGCCATGGCTCACAGGTCTTGTTGGATCGATCAAGCGGTCCTTCCGCCGAGTGCTTTCAATTGAGATGCTCATCCGTGCTGCTGCGTGCTCAAGCATGTCATGCGCGCGCGCGCGCAAACGAAGCTGGCGAGCAGGACGAGGACGGATGTTGCGGTAGGCATCTTGGCAATACGTCAATAAGGACGGGAAGTGCAATGAGGGAAGGCCGCATTTGTTGGCAAGTAGATCACATCTTGGTGAAAAAGACTGGCCCTTTTCAGGAGCCTCGGGTTTCGCGTTCAGGGTTTAAAGACAAATTCATATGCTGTTGCCCGCTTTCTTGTCATTTGTCCTGCTGCAACGTCAAAACCGGCAGCCATCGAAGATTTGGCCATCAAAGCTAAAGCCTGAAGGACCTCACATGACGATCCACGCATCGCGCTTCGCCGTAGAACAACTGTACTCTTCGCCTTCCAAGGAATCAGTATGTCACGCTGCGCTGTCCAGGGGCGTCATGCTTTTTGACTTCCCACCACGGCCAAGGTCACAGGAATGCTGTCGTGACAACCGCTTTGCAGTTCAAAGTCTGCGCTGTCAAGCTTTTAGCTTCGCGCTCTTTTGCTGCACAATGGCCTCCCACGAAAAGGGCTGGGCGCCATCCTCGCCAACAATGTGCACCGTGTTGAAGTTGTCGGGGATTTCCGTGTCTGCCAGAATGGCGTCGATGTCCGCTTTCTCCAGCACAAACTTCGGCTGGATTATTGCCTTTTTCGGGTATCTCGCCAAGGCCGCCAGTTGGAGGAGCTGCAGCTTCCACCCTTGCAAGGTGAAGAGTTGCTCCTGTCCCTCAGCGGACACGGCTCGAAACACCTCAATGGGGTGCTCGTAGCCGAGGTAACAGATGCCCTCGCACTGGTTCACTTTAACTTCCTGCCACACTCTGTTTAGCGGCTGGTTAACATTGCGGCCCTCGGGCTGTCTGTCTGGGATGGCTCGGCAGGCGTAGCCCACCGAAAACGGGTCCACGCGACCCATCCCGTACCCCATATTTGCGTCGCTCTCTTTCGGGCAGGGTGCCCAGCGCTTTGGCTGGACCTCCACTGCTTGCACGGGCTCTGCCTTGGCCGCAGCCTCCTTGGGCTCTGGCTTTGCCTGCTCCGCCGGCTCCTCCTGCTCCTCAACCTCCACAGCAGCTGGCTCCGAGTGCGAGTGCTCCAAGGGTTGTGGCCGGCGGCACCTGGTCGGGGATTCTTTATGGAAGAGGCTGTCATCCCAGATGCACCGGAGCAGACATGAGCAGACCAACCTCGAAGGTTGAACGGTGGCTGCCACAGCGGTGGCGAACAGCCGAGACTTCACTTTCGCACGAGGCTTGCGAGGGTTGCCTACCAGGCACACGTTGCACGCATCGCACATCAGCATCCTGCAGTCAAGGAAGCAAACGCCGGCCTACCGGCTTCTGTTCGCCTGGCGCATGAGAGTTTTAACTTTTAACTTACAACAGCACTCGAACCTACCACGTGCGGCAGTGTTTGTTGCGTTGGCCCTGCGATGCGTGGCGTGTTCATGGGAGTACTAGTCTCATGTTAGTAGCCATCTCTGAAGCCAAGCTGCCTTCATCCTGACTGCCTTGCGAGGATCTCTCCACATGCCAGTCGTTGCCATTGTGTTGCCAGGCACCTGCAGGTGCAAGCATTACTGGCCTAACAACGAGCACCACGTGAGAGCTGCCCCTTGAACCCACTCTGCAGAGCCTCGGTCCTCGCCCTTGCTGGACCAGTCCTTCCAGCTTTGCCAAACACCTCCGGTCAAGCGCTGCGGTTGCCATGGGCTGCACCAAAGCCCCCAACAAAACTCGGCTCTCCAAGGTGGCGCCTGCCCTTGCCAAGCGTCGGTGCATGATTGCGAAGCATGGCCAAGCACATGATCAGCCGAGATGTTGCTACACTCAAACTCCGCATGGCCTTGATCCTTGCGCCATGAGGACCTTCCATCGCGCCCGTGCCAGGAACCTGTAGCCACGGTTTTTCCAGAGAGGTCCGGAGAAGAGAGCGGACAGCGAAGCCCCACGACTCGCAGCTTTACCCCAAAGCCTCAGGCGTTTAACGGGGACGAGCGGTTGGCGGAACAATACTATGAGTATTGGGTTTGACTCCCTCTGCCTTTGCTTGCGATTCTGCGGAACTTGTGGGACCTCCTCGACCTCAGTCCGGACATGACCGGACCCTCTTATGACTTTTGGCCGAAAAGAAGGTTCTTGGAGGCCTCCATTCATAGGCCTGGAGGGTTTTCGAAGTCTGTGGAACTCCGGCAAGTCATTGAAGGTCTCTGGATTTTTTCTAAGGAGGCTCCGGGACGTGGAAGCTCCTGCAGCCTCTGGGAGGCTCCTCAAGGCGTCGAACTCTAAAGCTTCGTTTCAGTAGTCCGGTCAGCAAAAAGGCGAAGCCGTTGGTGCAGGGGAAACTTTCGTCAAAAAGAATAACAAGTCATGCGTGGAGGCCCCTGGAAGTCCCCGAGGCTGGCCTGTGCTGGCCAAGCCACCAAGCACATTCGTTCTCAAGTAATTGGCCAAGCCAGCAAACAAGCGCGAAACTTTCGTTTCAAGTGTTTTGTCGATCATACTGGAGGCTCCAAGGACTTTGCTCCCAAACCCGGGATGCTTGGATCTCGTTTGTGTGGCCGACTGCTGGCGGCGGATCGATGTCCCTGTCTGGTCGCGTGCAGGCTCCCCTCGCATGCTGCACTGCACCTCGCATCTCCCCGTTTCTGGCAGAAGGACGTGACCGCCGTCGCTGCCCGCAGGATTGGAACAACCTCTGGGCTCCTGGAGGCCCCCTGGACGCGTGCGCGCGCGCACGTCTGTGAATCCTGATCTCCCAGGCCAAGGCGGCAAACAGTAAACAACATGCACTCGGGATGTGCCAAGTATGGCCTTCAGAGTGGTGCTGCTCTCCTTGGGACCACGGTTTCCCGCGGCCTTGTCGCATCATCATCATGACAAGTCAGCGAGGCCCCTGCGGTGAAAGAAGGATTATTGCTACTATTCTTATGGCCAATCTTGCTACGAGTACGAGGCCTTGATCCTGATGCCAGGAGGACCTTCCGCCGTGGCGCTGGTGCCAAGCACCTGTAGCCCACGGTCAAGCTAGGAAAGGAAGGGTTCAGGGGTTTAAGGGTCTAATGGGTCTAGGGGGCAAGGTTCAGTCATCGCTCTGAGACAAGCAACCGAACCCAGCTGAATCAGCCCACCACACGCACGCAAACCCCATCAAGCACATGCGGTAAAGCATCGCGACAGTACTCAAGCGGCCTTCAAAGTGGCGCTGCTGTCTTTGCTGCCATGACTCGCCTTGTCAGAACACCCGCCCACACGCACAACAACGCTGGGACCGCCGCCCCCAGACCGGGAAAGTGGATCAGGAACCTCAACCCTCCACCGGCCTTCGTCGTGGCCCCATCGCTTGGAGAGCTGAACTTGGGACCAGCTGGTGTCCGAGGCTTCACCTGACGCCAGAAGGTTCAGCATCAGGGAACAGACATGCAGAAATGAGGAACCGGCCTGTCTCACCCCACCAGTTTCCGGTCGAGCTGGACCAGCCGCTGTCCCACCGCTCGTGGCGAGCCATGGCTCACAGGTCTTGTTGGATCGATCAAGCGGTCCTTCCGCCGAGTGCTTTCAATTGAGATGCTCATCCGTGCTCTCTGATGTGTGCTCAAGCATGTCATGCGCGCGCGCGCAAACGAAGCTGGCGAGCAGGACCAGGACGGATGTTGCAGACATTCAGAGCGTGCTTGTAGGCTTTGATGATCGAGCTGGCGCAGCGGGAACACCCACCCCGAGCGGTTTTGCAGTCTCAGGACTTGAGGGGGTGATTGCTCGAGAATCCTCTACTGTGCGATTGTTGAGTTGAGGCTTCGAGGCTGTATTACGGGTACACGGAAAGCTCATTTGCAAGGCCGACATGCACATGCGCCCTCGCTCAGAGACGGCACAAGAGACCAGCCCCCATAAGGCCCTTTTTACTTCGTCGAGCGAGACGGCTGCAGGATGCTGCTCTCCACGTCGTGGCAGGAGTTTGCATCACCTAGGGCACGCTGTTCTCTGGGGGCATTCTGGGGCAGTCAAGGCTTGGCATGCCGCGCAGCGGTGTTCTGCGACGTGCTCTTGAGACCACGGTGTTGACCGTGCACGTGCACGCTGCCCTTTTTCATGCTGCCACGCGAAAGAATCTTGAAACACAGCCACCCTCGGAATTGAAGGGGCAGTGGGTTCGAAGAAGCAAATCTGGCATTTCGCCCAACCCTGCCCTGAACCTGAAGGTCGTCCTCTCAAATCATGGCACTTCTGGAAATATGTCACTGCAGTTACTGTGGTCTGGTGAGAGCGAGTCAATTCACAAGAATGCCAAGAATGCCAACCATCTGATGCAATCAGGAAATACTTTTACAACTCTTACAAAAGATTTGGCTTCAAACTGGAGCATTCTGTGGTCTTTGGATGGATTGGAATCTATACACGGGCCTCGGTAGGGAATGCACTTTGCAAACTGCATGTGTCTGACTTTGTGAGCCTCTTGCGGGCTTCTCCTGCAAACAGTGGAGGCGGTGGGGAACTTTTCGGAAGGCAATGGAAACAAGAGCTTCTGGACGACATCTGACGAGCTTCCCTCCAGCAACCCGTGCTCCTCTGGTGATGAGGGGCGACCTGGGACCAATCAACCATGTGCTTGAGCACAAAACTTAAATCTTAGAAGCGGAATACTCCATCCAAACATCCCGGCACCAAATTTCAGCCCTCCCAACTCTGTCCACGAAGATGGGAATCCTGGTTCAAACAGCCTAGTTCAACCTAAGGCAAAGCTTTTTGGGGACACAGGATTCGGGTCGCCTGGACCACCATGCACCGAGTGCTTCGCGCACTCCTGGGCAACAGGATGCGAACTGTGGGGATCAATCACGAAGCTTTCTGTGGTCATGTGGATACGCTGTGGGCGGCACCCCAGGTGAAACCAAATTCTGGCTCCTCAGATGGCATTGACTCGCAGTTACTACACTGGAAAGGTCCAAACTCGCTCAGCTTCTGACTGCTCAGCGGAGTTTTGCCAAGCCTCACGGCACTTCTGGAGGCTCGACCAAGCTGCAAAGTGGTCGTTTGATGTGTGCTCTGCATAGTCCCCACTCAAGGGAAAGGTGAAATCCTCAGCAGACTCACAAAACGCTCCTATGTCTGCCAAGGGCTCGGCCTTGGGACAGCATCTGGAAGCAGCAGTCCTGGCAAAAAGCACGCTCAACTATGAACATGTCTAGGGGTTTCGGGCGGCACCGTGCAAAACGCGTCAGTGAGGCTGAGGTCGACTCAGCAGCACGATGCTCACGATACCTTCGAGTCACCTGAAAGCAGACGTGCGATGTAGGCGATGCTGAGTCTTTCTTTGTGACCTTACTTACAGTAGCGGTCAGCACGAAAGCTTGCTCGACAGTCCCGGTCCCTAGTGGCAGACTTTCTTGAGGCAATGGTGACAGCCTCATCTACAGCATGATGCTGCAAAGTTTATCACACACATGAGGCCGGTAAGTATGGACCCTATGTGGCTGGCAAGGGGGGATGAGTGCTCTCGTATTGGCAACTGTGGAGCCCTATCGTTATGCCTATACCGGATAGGGCTGATTGTATTCAAGACTGTGTGCAAAGTTGGCATGATCAGGCAAATGTGTATGTACTGATGCGTCTGTCTCTCTTCTCTCTTTTCGCTATGCAGCTGGAGCGGTATGCGCACATACAAGCCTCATCCAGCACGTCCGGCAGCAATGCCCAGCCAACTAACGCCATGGTAATCCGCATGCAAGCTAGCGCCGTCCCCCTGCAAAGATGTTTCAGGCAGTTTTGGCCGTATTGGGCGCCCCCGCCCCCCCCCCCCAGGAAACGGGTCTCGCCTCGACCGCCGCAGGCCATGTCGCTTTCGCCGCCTTCTCTGCAGGCGGAAGAGCTGCTGGCAGTGCAGCCGGTGCAGCCGTTGCAACAAGCGTATCCTCACAGCGAAAGACACTGCGAGGACAAACGCAGTGAAAAGCGAGCCAATTTCCCGAGGTTGCGCTGTGTGCCATTCTGCAGCAAATTCTGCAGCAATGCACGATGATGACAAACACAGAAGCAAGCATCGAAGATGTGCCACACAGACTCTCAAACCTAAGCTTCCTTTCAAGAATGACAGCTGTCCCTTGCCCTGCCCTGCGCTGCACTGCACTTCTGTAACGTCCAACGCAAAGCGTCATATTGGACCTCAAAATAGCGAGGAAGGACTCGCCCCGCGCCATAGCGCTATCTGTGCTCTCATCATCCCCCGTCCATCGATCCCCCCGATCTTTGGACGGCTCGTTTCGCAGAGCACAGCGTGAGGGACGTCGCGCCTCCACTTGTAGCTTGACTGCAGTGGGAATTGCAGGCAATGGCGGCCCGACGTCCTCCTCGGAAATTCAACAAAGCACACAACACGCTTCAGGGCTTGACGTGGCATGAGCACACTCATACACCTCACACGCTGCCGACGTGCTTTTCCAACCTATGCAGCATCTGCATGACCAGGTGTTTGTTCCGAGATGCATGAGATACTGCAGCAGCCGCCTCCGCTGAGGGCGCGAAAGTCTGCCCTGCCTGGTTAGGGCTTTGCCAGGCGATCTCAAAGCGTGAAGCTTTGCTCGGGACAGCTTATGACAGTGCGACCTTCAACCTTGCGAGTCTTGCGAAGACCACATGGGACAGGTTTGGAGTTTGGATCGGCGCCTTGTCGAACGCTGACTCTTCACCCCTGAGGGCGCCATTGGCCGTAGCCTGAGCTGCTCAGCTGTTTGGCAACTGTGGCCCTCCTAGCTTAGGCATGGTATGTACATGTATGTACAACGAATGCACATGTCTGTACAGTGCGGTGGATCTCTGTGAATGTTTGCAGGCACGAAGCAGCTTCAGCTGGCGGCAAAGGCCCTCTCTTTTCTGGGCAAAGGCCCTGAGTTTGAGCCCCATTGTCTTCTGTGTTCAGTGGAGGCTCCTGTGAGCAAGGCATCTCAAGCAGCTGGTCGGCGCTGAAAACAAGCAGGGCTGGTGACAAAAGCAACTCTCCAAACCAACTAGGCAGCGCAGCTGGAGGAAAGCCCTGGCCGAAACTGTTAAGATCCTACAAAATGAATGTCGTGATGAATGGGAATCCGTCGCTTCAGCGGCCTCTGCATCCGACTCTTCCATCACCGTGCCCAGTCTTTCCTATCAGCTCCGAAAGTCGTTACTGCGGACAAGCAGCAGTCTCAACATACAAGGGGGCACGACAAGGGGGGTGCAGGGAAAGGGGCCCATGCTCCGTCCTTCCCTGCACTCCAAGCTTCCGAACCTCTGACAAGAACAGTTTGATAGACAAAGTTCTTAACTGGGAAGCCTAGCAAGCGATGACATGAACATCACCCAATCGAAGACGATGAACTCATGTGCATGATGAATACTGTGCAAGGCTTTGTACAAACCCAAAAGCCCCAGCAACCGAATTGCCATCTACGGCAGGAGCAGCCCAAAGCCTACCAAGCTTGCCAGCTCATTATGCTATTCACGCGCTCGAGTAACAAGCGAAGTACCTCTGAAAAACACTGCTCGTGTACCTGATGAGGTCAAAGGCACCATTGCTACTGAGTCATGAGAAGAGCCGGCGAGGGAATCAAGAAGAACTTGAAGGCGCGGAAAAGGCAGATACGGCAAGGAAGGACTTGGTGGTTGTGGAAACTGCCGGGCGATTTCCTGCAGGCACTTGGCCCTTCAATGCCGCTCGGAGTTGGTAGAGCTGGACGAGATCTTCGCCGCTGCCGCCGCCGCTGCTGCTGCTGCTGGACATACATGTCACTAGAGTTGTTACTGCACACACAAGTGTGTTTCACAACAATTCTCAGATGTTACAAGCGACCCTCTCTCGATGGAAGTTGGGAAGTTTAATATGAAAAGAGGTCGCATTGTGGATATCTCTTTAATCGTGGCATGCCATATGTAACTTCGCAAGGTTTGGCAGAACTGTCCGGAAATTTTGTGAACAAGAAGTTCCATACCTGCTAGATAAAGCGTTTGTCGCATATATGACATCAGAGCTCCTGGAAGAATGGATGAATACTGTACCGCTCAGCTCTGGTGTCGAAGCTCTAGCTATGGAGATGGTTGGGGAAGGCGGGTGGAAACACCATCATCACCAGAAGGCGAAGCCTATCCCAAATGCAAGCTCAGCTATCAACACGCGTGAGCTGTCTCATCCCAAGTGCAAGCTCAGTTTTTAACATGCGAGCTCAGCTATCAACAAGTGTGCTGTGTTACAAGGTTTTTGATCAGGCGAGGTGCGCTAAGCCCGCCCAGGTACCAAGGCCTGGGGGGCTGGAAATAGTACCAACACTCCATGAATTCGTGCCATGATGCAAAACACAGGCCTTGACAGGAGTGCTGTACACGTCCGGCTGCGCTGGAGCGGGCACCTGAAAGCATGGTACTGTAACCCGTGCACAAGCTAGCACCGCCGGTGCCCTTAAAGATGCCATGCACAAAAAAACAGTTTGCCCCCCCCCCAACCCCCCTAGTACAGCTCCCCTCATCCAGGAATTTCCTGTCGCAGCCAAGCCTTTGTTGTTTCCCATGCGCACACTGCCCCACAGAGAGAAGGCCATGGGTGGCTTGCACGCTTGTTCATCGCAATCTGCGATGGCAACATACACACAAAAACAAGATCTAGCTGCCTGCTAGCATTGCTAGCACAAGAAGCATCAAACAACAGCCACATGACCTTCCCAAGTGAAAAACATTGGAGCGCCCGCTCGCCTGGCTCAGCACCATTGGAGTGGCCGGCAGGTTGGCCAGGGTGGGCCCTGGAGGCCTCGGATTGCAGGCACTCGGCACTCGAAACGACCCGTTTCCTTAATGAATCGGGCAGTTTCGACTCCAGAACGGGACAACGGGACCATTCAGGAATCTTGAATCGCGGAACTCACTGTTTGCAACGCATGAAGCACCAAGGCGTCGTGTATCAGAGGAGCAAAGATTTTTCGAAACATGAGCCCAGTACCCCTGCACCTCCGGAAAGTAACATGGAGATTTGATGCCAATGCTGGCATGGCTGATGACAACGACTGTTCAGCGGATGAGGGGCACGCAGCACCATGCCCTGATCCCCCCGCCTCAACTGTACGGAAGATGTGCGTTGCGCAAACCTTTGTGTTCGAAACTTCGGAAGGCCCGTGACAGAGTTGGAAAAACTTGCTGTTTAGCTGAATGGCGCGACCACCATTTCCCGAACCAGGCTTCTTTCCTGAATCCTGGTTTCTTGAATGGGAGCCGCTTCTTTTAGGCTTAGTTTCTGAATCACGGTGCTGGGATTTGATTCATCGCCGCTCGGTAGTGGAACATCCAACTTGTCACATATGTGGCAAATACGCGGAGAAAAATCGACAAGAACCTGATAGGATCCACGAACCCGAATGCAGAAAGCAGTCACCTATAACGTAAATATAACGCCATATAAACGAAACGTCCGTGGCGGGTGGACGGACCACCACCACGGACCACCACCACGGACGACCACCACGAACCAGGGACCACCACCACGGACCACCACCACGGGACCACCACCACGGGACCACCACCATGGGACCACCATCACGGGACCACCACCACGGGACCACCATCACGGGACCACCACGACGGGACCACCACCACCACGGGACCACCACCACAGGACCATCAGCACGGAACCACCACGGGACCACACCATGGGACCAATACCACGGGACCGGGACCACCACCACGGGACCACCACCATGGCACAACACCACGGGACCACCACGGACGACCATTACGGGACCACCACCACGGACCACCACGGGACCACCACCACCACGGGACCACCACCACAGGACCACCACCACCACGGGACCACCACGGGACCACCAGCACCACCACCACAGGACCACCACCACGGACCACCACCACGGGACCACACCACGGGACCACCACCACGGGACCACACCATGGGACCACCACCACGGGACCACCACCACGGACCACCACCACGGACCACCACCATTGGACTACCACACGGGACCAACCACGGGACCACCACCACAGGACCACCACCACGGGACCACCACCAACACGAGACCACACCATGGGACCGACCACCAGCACCACCACCACGGGACGGACCACCACCACGGGACCACCACCACGAAACCACACCACGGGACCACACCACGGGACCATGGAACGCCCACTTCCGCCACGTGGAACGCCCCCGGGAATCGTGCCCTGCGGAGTTCCCCCTTAGCTTGACGGATTCGGAACGCGCGGAACGCCACGGGGAACGCCACGGCGGCGCGTCCTGTGGAGTTCCCCCTTAGCTTGACGGATTCGGAACGCCATGGAGTCCCCCCTTAGCTTGACGGATTCGGAACGCCATGGAACGCCACGTCGGCGCGTGTCCTGTGGGTTCCCCCTGAGCTTGACGGATTCGGAACCCTACAGAACGCCACGTCGGCGCGCGTCCTGTGGAGTTTCCCCTTAGCTTGACGGATTCGGAACGCCACGGAACGCCAAGTCGGCGCGCGTCCTGTGGAGTTCCCCCTTAGCTTGACGGATTCGGAACGCCACGGATCCTGTGGAATTCCCCCTTAGCTTGACGGATTCGGAACGCCACGGAACGCCGCGTCGGCGCGCGTCCTGTGGACTTCCCCCTTAGCTTGACGGATTCGGAACGCCATGGGTCGGCGCGCGTCCTGTGGAGTCCCCCCTTAACAGCACGCGTTACGCCACTCGCGAACGCTTGCGGACGCTTGCGGACGCTTGCGGACGCTTTGCGGACGCTTTGCGGACACAGCGCAACGACGTTTGGTAACCTCCCAACCCAACTTTAAAACGGGTTCTGCGGAGCATTCGGGAAAAAGTGCTTCAAAAACCCCCCCCCCCCCCCCAACTCCTCTACAGAGTTGTTTTCAAAGCCCAGGCGCGGTGCCCCCATCTGCACATACGACCCACCTAGCAGATGGAACAGCGAGCGCCATGGTTATCTGGAATAGAATACACCTTGCAGTAATGATATAAGATTGTGTGTGAAAGCTTTCTGTATGCAACATTTGCCTTTTAAACATCTGCACAGTTTAAGGTCAGGCGCATGGAACATATGGAACGCTGTCCGCAGGACACATCAGAGCTTTGTTGATTCCTCTAGTTCCTCTGTCTTGCCTCGAAAGCCACCAGGTGGAAAAAGGCCCTCCATGGCTGGGAACGACGTGCTTTCTATGTTTTTGTTGACCAAGTCTGTGCTGCAGTATCCCCTGTGCATATGAAAGCGTGCGCATTGCCGCTGGAACTTTGAGCCGGGCCCAGCAGATCCAAGCAGAGCACATGCGACAGTGCTGTCTCTATGGAAGAAGTGCACATTGTGTTGACTGTGTTGTGCTTTGATCCGCAAGGTTCCAGTACTGCTCTGTGGCCGCGGCCGTGGCTGTTCTGGTCCCTCTCTACCTAGCTGTCTGACAGAAGCAAAAGCAACAGCACCACTTGTAAACTTCACACCTCCTTGAAGAGCTCCAGGACGGTCAGCAGCCCACATGACACGTGATCGGCGCGTGGCGGGCCTTCAGCTTTCCGCCGCTCTCTGCCCATTCTCCCCAAAACCTGCCACTACATACATCAGACTACCGAGTTGCGGACCAGGCCGGGGAGGGGTGGAAAATAACCACCCAAAGCAGCCCTTCTTGCCCTGACGAACACGAAGCACTCACGTTTCCTCCAGCTTCTTTTGGCACTGTGGCGTAACTCTACGAAGCGTTGGGACTCGATGTATCGGCTCTTTCGAGGAAGTGCTGGGCCCCGTCGATTGTGGCCACACCCTTAAGACTTAAGGATGTTCTGAGGCCGTACATCTTGAAAATCAATGGTCGAGGCGCTGAAGTGGCGAAATCCAATGGTCGAGGCGAACTGAAGTCAATGTGAAACTATTGGGCCAGAAGCCAGGCAAGGCAAGCTAAATGGCGGGCGCATGGCGGCGAAATGCGGCGGGCTTTTGGCACCATGGCATGGTGCAGGAATGTGCTTTGTGAGGAAAGAAGCGCCGAGCAACTGCATCGATGGTGGGCGAGTGCTTGCCGTGGCTTGGGGAGGGGGTCACCGAAGCCAGGGAGGCCCGTGATGTGAAAAAATCTGGATGCAAACATCTGCATTCTCCCTTTCTTTTGCAGAAACGGTTTTGCAACAAGCCGGTGCAACCTCGTTGGTCATCTCTCACTAGTAACTCGGTCAAAGCATGTCGTGCCAATAAGAGCAGAAGTTGTCACTTCGAACACAGGTGTTCTTCAAGTTCTGCACAACAAAGTCGCAACAGCTACAATAGTTGAGGTGTGAATCTCATTCGAAGCCTCCCATGCCGAGGCCACGTGATCGTCCTCGATCTGCTGGGCTGCGCTAAGCATCTCGGAATCGGCCTGGGGGGCCAGTTGCAAGTGGGGTAGCTTGATCTGTTGGAACGCTTCGGACACTGGGAGCACCTTTTCGAGCTCCTTGTCTTCCTCTCGCAGTACGGAACTGCTAAACTTCGCAGCGTCGACGAACTCTGAGTACATTTTCCCATTTCACACCTGCTTCATGCTCTCCATGTACTGAGCCACTGCTGGCGGTGGCCAGAGACGAGTCGCCTCGCCAACAACCACAGTGCGAGTGAGATCTGACAAACATTAGCAAAACAACTGACAATACCTACTGGGACAAATTGGGACAAGTGCGACTCGTGGCTGCTCCTCGTCTGTGCACGTCGCTGATGGCATGCTTGGCTCCTACGAGCGGACGCGAACAGTTCTTCAATGATTCGTTCGTCTTTGCTAAAGAAGGAGGCAGAGGCAACCGACTAAGCATCAGACCTCGGCATCTGCCCAGGCTGGGATCGGGGCCTCAGTTCCGCGCAACCCGGCTATGGAAAGTGCATGCCCAGTGCCAGGGGGCCAGGCTGTTGCTTGTGGTGGAGAAGGTGCAGAGGCAGCTACCTCCACACAGAAACACAGAACCATGTGCTTCGATACTTGCTACTTGGACAAGTCAGACTTATCTGCGTGGTCACTCCTCGTCTGTGCACGTCGTTGATGGCGTGCTTGGCTCCTACGAGCGGGCGTGAACACTCAAAAACAAAACAGCGGAAGAGGCGCGCGATCGCTCGCTTTGCAGCTGCCGATCGGGTTTGCTGTCGTGTGTTCGGACAAGGACTGGCCTGCGCACTATGCTTTGTCTCGCCGGATGATGTCTCCGGCACTCTCTTGACCTGGGCAATGCGTCTTGCAGGCACAAGTGCAGGCTTTGGCTACCCTCAAGACTTCTGAAGCAACTACACAATTACACAAAGCTCACGTTGAGCCATGGCCACTAGGTCCACTCGGCGTCAGACGGCATCTGCCCCGCCGGGAGCGGGAAGCCTCAAAATTCTTTTGCAATTTAGCGCAGCTTCAGAGGCTGAAAGAGGGGGAAAAGAGCGCAGCCGCTGCGCCGGCCGTCGGGGGCCCAGGCTCCGCTGGCCCGGCTTTGCGCGCAGCGGGAAGCCTACACCCCCCCACCCCCCCACTTTGGAGGACTTCACGCCCGCTTTGCTCCGTAGCCTTAGCCCTCTGTTTATTGACCTCCGATTCATGAGCCAGGCTGTCTTCCCTGTTCGTAGTCTTCCCTTGGTTTGTTAGATTTAAAAGACCACACGGCCAGCCCGCCAGCCCAAACCAGTGCTCCACACGACCTCTCTTCGAAATCGGAGGACATGACAGGAGATAGGACGGGAACGCGGACAGATAACAGGACACAGGACAGGCAAGAGGACAGATAGCTGCCAGGTGTAGCGGCCAGCAGGCCTCTCAGGCCGGCATTTGTACCGCCCAACAGTTGCCCATATAGCGGTTTGGAAGAGCACCGCACAACAGCGGCGATGATGTTCACAGCTTGCTTTACAGGATGGTCAGGAGACTCCGGATGAATCACCACCTTGGTCACCGTCTTCGTTCAGAGTGCTCCTGCCCACTGCTTGTAAGCAAAATAATGGCACTTCTTTTCCATGCAAATGAGTGAAATGATGCGCGAGTGACTCACCACATGTACCACGGTTCGCCACACACATGTACAAAAACGACAACGAACGACAACAACGACAACAAAAAATCACCTTTTCGAGCATCCCCACTCTGTCCCAATACGCCTTGCCCTGAATCACAACACAACATGCTCATGCTTCTTTGGAGAAACCGAGGTTCAGCTTGTCTTTGTAGCACGACGACATGATCATAAACCAAGCACAGGCTTTACATGGCTCGGACTGTTGTGAAGTTGTTGCTGCGCAAAAAGCGCGTGTCCATCGTTTCTCTAGGGAAAACGGTGTCTCTGGCAAAAAAAGCAATGGCTGGCAGGATTTCCGACCGTGTAAACGCATTTGTTGCTGCTCAAAAAATGCGTTTCCAGCGTTTTTCTCTAGAAAAACAGCGTCTCTGGCAAGAAAGCAGTGGCATACAGGATTTCTGTTTGTGAAAACGCAGTTTTTTCTTGTCCAAAAATTGCGTGTCCACGGTTTTCTCGATAAAAAGCAGCATCTCTGTCAAGACAAAATGGCAAACATTATTTTCCGACTGTAGAAACGCATTTGTTGCGCTGGCCCAAAACATGCTTCTACATCGGATTGAAGCGCCGAGCCCCTCAGGTGCAACATCTTTGCCGGACGCGCCTTTGGTGACTAGGGCGGTGCCCTTTTTCTTGCTACCGTACGTTTTATGATCATGTCGTCTACAAAGACAGGGAACCTAGGTGTGCATCAAAAAAGTGGATTGAGCTTGTTGTATTGTGACGCAGGTGTCTTGGGACAGGGTGGGGATGCTCGATGTGGTGTTTTTTTAGTTCTTTCCTGGGTTTAGGGCTTGGGGTTCAGGGATTTTGGTTGTAGCCGCTGAGGGTCATTCACCTGAAAGTGAAAGCAGTGAGGGAACATGAGTGAACTATCATCCAGTCCTTTCGGCTGCATGTGTGCGAAGATTCTGCGATTGATCTCCCCCCACCACAAGGCAGTGCCATAAAGAGCAAGCGCCTCATCGGCGCGCGGCGTCCATGAGCAATCTGCTGCGAGACACCTCCGAGCAATGGATCTTCGACAGACATCGTCTTTCTCTTGTGCAGGCGCACCATGTTGTTGACCGCAATGGTCCAATCATAGGTGCCGCACGGCCTCCTCGCCTCTGGTCAAAGACTGGTCTGCTTGGGAAACACTGGGCAGCAGAAGGTAGCACCTTGTGCACCTTGGGTTCATGCGACCGATTTTGGCCCGAAGGCTAGCGCAAGCATCCGGGGTTCGAACCATTGGCTGGCCAACTGCTGGTGCCTGGGCCGGGTTCACATCGGCATGGGTTCTCACACCACCTCCGGCTTTCGGAGGTTTTAGGGGTCTCAGATTTCTGGTTGAGAGGTTCTACATCTGAACCTGAAGATGCTCCAAAGACCCGTCGCAGCACGACTCAACACGCAATGACTCAACTGCTGCAGTTCCATGCCTTTACAGCACTTCAAAATCAGGTCCCGGCTCTGGCCTGCTCAGCCTTAGCTGTATAAGGTATTTCATTCCCAAACCCAAACAAACCTCCAGAGCAGGGAACTGCCTCCATAACTAAAATGGTACAGCGATACCTTTAATGTAAGGCAAAGGCTGCCATCCGCGCAGGCACTCCAAGCAAAGGCCTCGAGGTGCGGCATCCGCTGGCCCAGCTTTGCTCACACGCCCTACCCAAGAGGCCCGGATCCTCCCATCCCATCCCTGCCCGTCCCTTTCGGCCCCTTTCTTCCAGCTCTTCCGGGTAGACAGGGCCTGCAGAGGGCTGCGGAGGGCGCCCCCCCTCGTTTGAAAACACAATGCTCGCCCGACGGGTATATGGAGGGTTCGGGTGTTTTTTTTTCACGGCCTGAACCCTAAATTTGCTCTTTGAAGAGTTGAGCTGGATGTGTTTTTTCAACGTTGATGTGTTTGCTTTGTTTGTTCTGTGAGTGATGTGATAGGTGTTTCAACCTTGGTTTTGACAGGATTCTAATGTTCTTTTGGGGCTTAATTCTTGAGCTGAAAAATCCACATGGCCATTAAAAAGTGAGGGGTTGCAGGGGGGGAGTTCCTCCCCCTTGTAAACACGATGCTCGTGGATTTCTCGCTCCATCCTGCCTTTCTTTCATTATGTAATCCGCTTCAATATTTCATGTCGTTCTTTAGCTAGACTTATCTCCTTCATTGCTGTCGTTCACTATGTTGCGTTACTCTTTCGTTCTTTCTTTCTGTCCTTCTTTCTTGCTTTCTGTGTTGTTCTTTCTTTTCTTTTTGTTTTCATTGATGCCTTTTGATGCTTTTTGATGCCATTGCTTTTTGGCTTTCTTCAGAATTTCATTTCCCCCGCCCCTCCACTCCCACCACACCCTGCCCCTGCCCACACGCTAGAAAAGAACAGTTACTTCGATCACGCACTACAACTAATTGATGTGGGAGCCACCCTGCCATTAGATATACTCGGAGATAGTCGGCAGGACTCTCTTCGGTGTTCTTTGGGGGTGGTCACTCCAGGAATGCTCGGACTTAGAATGCTCGGTAAAACTCTGCGTGCTTCTGCAGGGCTCTCCGGGGATATACCCTTGGACTCTGCGGGCTTCTTTTGGAGGGTGGGCACGCCAGGTCGGGAATCTGCGACCAGGACAGGAGATCTGACTTAACACTAAAGAACCCCACACCGAGGGTGATAAAAGCGTAGTAAACATGGACATGAAACTGAAGTTCAACTACAGTACTTGTTTATCAGCACATGCAAAATTTCGGGCGTTAGCTCGTGTGCACACCTGAGACCGTACACCTGCACGCGGGCTGGAGCATGAGGGGAGCCCCCCCGCCAGGGTTCAGCATGGTTTCGAGCGGCAGGGCAGGGTCGGTGTGCGCCGCGAGGCCAAAAGCACTGTCTCTGCTCAGCCGCCCGCCGCGGAGCTACCGGGGATGGCGCCAGGCACCTGTGCAAGACTGTTACCCTTACAACATTTTGCGAGCATGTCCTCGCAGGTTGAAACAGGATGGAAAGCCATAGGTCATGGCCTGGCACCGAAACTTTGGTGGATGTATGGATACCTGGAGTGCACAAATCTTGCGAATGTGTCGGCTTCCGTGATGCCTCGAACAACTCTATGGTGTGCAAACCTCAAGCATGCGATAAGCCTTTGCCTTCATGTTCGTCTGGCTCAGGTGATCTTGCCAAGGCACTGGTGGCATTGGTATCTTACGCGAACCACCTGCCAAAGACCCATGCCCAGATGTCCCCAAAGAATTGCAGCGCCCTTGATGAAGTCCACAACCCAACGATACAATTCAGATTGGGCAATATAAGGCTTCAAAACCCCGAAAGCCCTGGTCAAGCACAAGCCTTCTAGCAACCTCGCATTAACATAAAAAACACAAAAAACCTGAGGGGTTCTGCTCTTCTTTGCTGAATGAATCAGAAGAAATGGTCAGCACCAGCGGAAAAAAGGTCGGGCTGATTTTTCGGTGGCTTGACACAGCAAAGACTCTCAAGGTTTCATACGATCACATACATGCCAAAAACTTGCAGTTGTGGTCAAAGCCAATCACATGTCTTGAACGATGCCACTTTCATACCGTCAATACTCCAATCACCCATCGTAATTCGGGCTTCCATTCTTCATTGGAAATTTCCATGCCTTGTCAATCATGCGAAATATGCTTGCAAACTCGTCCTGTCGCCCAACGGTCCTTCCTGCCAACATCTAAGTAGTTGGTTATCGTGCTAAATGCAGAGTTTCCGAGCTACTCACCGAAATCATCAACACAATGCAAGGTTATCTTCATTCTCAACAGGATCCAGCGGTTCGGACAACAAAGCACTGCAATCCGAAGACTTAAGTCGCCGACACTGCACCGAGGCCACTGTTGCGGTCTTGCGGCCGTGGTGCCTGTGGGTCAAATATTGTCGAAGTGTCCAATGATACTTCAGGGAACGCTTGCACAAAGCCCAGCGGCCTTGCATGGAGCGAGGAAAGCTCCAAGTCATGGCTGTGGAATGCGCACTGTTTTTTAGGGGTGTCGGGCTTAGGGCTGAGGGTTCAAGATTCGGAGTTCCCACTTGCAGGCCTGAACCTCAGAATATTTCGCCTGGCAGGAACGCACAAACTCTACCAAGGCCCTGCCATTTTTGGTTTGGATTCTTGCGGGAAACCGACTTAAATTCCGCGAAATGCCTGCACGAACCTACGAACATTTGAGGCACACTGCAGCTGGTCCACTTTTGCAAAGGTCGCGCAATGACGGCGTGGGGGCCACGCAAGCATGAGCCAAACAGCTAAAACCGGCGAAAAGAATTCTGGACAACTCCCACATGCGGACGTTGAAAACTCACGGCATTTGGTTTTGGCTGAACCTGCGCTTGAAGCTTGTGCAACACACACGCTCAGCCTTGAAAGGGGTAGGTTCATGAAGCTGCGAGAAACAAAAAAACTCAGCATAAAAAGTCCGGCTGCCCGGCTATGCGACAATGATCCCCATCCATCGGGGTCAGGTAACTTAATGCTAATGTACTGCTAACGTATTGAGCCAATGTTTCAGGTAAAAATTCCGTAGCATGTAACGGTCCAATTAAACTATGGGAGGGGGGGTTCTCTAACCAATGCGCGCTGTGCGTTCTCGACCCCCCTCAACCCGCACCCGGCCGCGCCCCCCCTCCGAGCTTGACGCATTTGGTGCATCTTGAGCCCCAGCTCACCCGTTTCCTGTACCACAGAGATGTGCGGACCATGCAGCAGACATCATCGCAGGGTCCTCGCCCGCCCACCGACCCGGATCAGTCCAGCTCAGACTCGGCCTCCTCGCGCACATCCTCGGACGAGGATAACAGCCCCAGGCCCGCCCAAAAGCCTGCTGCGCCCAGGGCTACACTGGATGCCAACAGCATAATCCTTGCCAACGGTCCCTGGGGAGCCGTCCACTTCGCACACGTGGACTCAGCCACCCATTGGCGCACAGCCTGTGGGATTCTTATCGGGGACGCCGGCCGCGTTCTCCCGAACCCTCTCCGAGCCGCATGTGCAGGCACAAAGCCTGCTGCCTCGCCCTAGAAGCTCTCACTGCCCAGGCCCCATAGGGGACCCTGCCGTACGCCTGCCATGAAAAAGCGGGTGCCTTCAGGCTTGCAATGTCAGTCATGTTGTCCTCACCCTCGCCCAATCCCCCGCACCCCCCTGTCATGTCAGGTGCTCGCCGCAGCCATCTTCGACGACAAACTCGTGATCCTACACGCACTCCCTCAGTCCCCGCTCTTGGCCATGGACTGCCCAACTGCCTTCCAGGATCTGCTCAAGGAGCAATGCTCTGCTGTGCTCTACCCTGTCTGACCAGGGGGCTACCAAACCATCGCCGACTTCGCTTGGGCTTTTCCCAGCGTGGACCGCCTAGCCGCCTTCACTACGACCCTGCCGGAAGCCACAGCCCAGTCCTCACCGCGGGGGACCTAGACACATCGGTTGAAATCGCCCGCCTCCGACGCGCCCTGGACATGTGCCACAAGAAGGCCCAACTCTCAGACGCCGGCACAGCCCAGCCCGAAGGAGGCCAATCCTCCGCATCGGGGCATGCCCCTCAGCCTTCCCAGTGGATGGAGCACCTGCCCCCACGCCCAACGCAGGAAGCGGTACAAGACATGATCGACAAGTTCAAGTCAAATTACCCTGGCGAACTGCTCGATCAGGACTCCATGCCCAGCATCCACCTTCTCAGCCTAGTTCACCACAGCCTCAAGCCAGGGGAAAAGATTCGTTGTTTTTTTTTTGGGACTGGCGCCCCTTTACTACATCAGTAGCACAGTAGACCGGTCTTGTTGGGCTCGACGTAACGGGTGAAACGAAGTCAGCGCGCGCAAACCACCAAGAACACCACGCAACCACCCAAGAAATAAGGAAACAGAAGCAACAAAGCAAGCAAAGGCGCTGAACTACTAGGTAACCCCACGCACTCAGTACTCGAAGTCGTCGTTGAAGTCCTGGTACAATCATACAGCACTGAGCATGCGGGGAGTCGCAAATTGTGCCAGATTCTCAAAACCACCATCATGTAGCTACTGGTGCGACGTCATTCGGCTCGAACCGAGGTCATCACTTGATAGTCAGGATCCCGTACTCGTCGTCAAGGACAGATAACAGACCCGCATTGGCAAGGGGATGGTACAGGTCAGACTCCCCAAAGGAGAGCGGTCAGAGAGGCCCCTGCGAGGAGTCCGGGGCGTCTTCATCCACCCGGTCAAGGACGAGCACTGGGAGGACAAGCTGCACGAGCGCCTGGGCCTGACTGGGCCCGACATGCTGGACAAGGTCCTTCTTCGGGTACAGGCGCAGCTGGAGAAGCTGGAGGGCCCTTCGAAGGTGCCCATCATCGTGCTGGACATCCCGTGCAAGACGAGGGAAGGCGCTTGTGGCTTTCAAGTCCTTGTGCACTTGCTTGTTGGTCGTGAGGCATGGACTCTGTCTCCACCTTCGCCAAGTACCAGTGCTCTGACGAGGCTATGGACGCCACGGCTGTGAAAACACAGCAGCAGCGCGCAGAACCCTCTTTTTCTCACGACTTGAGCCAAAGTCAAAAGCCGGAGGCTTCGTCAGTGAAACTCTTTACACACAGGTGAAAACTCTGCTCTGCCACGTGTTCTCCACAGCCACAAAACAAACTCAAACGTCAGTGGGAGTTCTCGGGACCTACCCAACTATACCTAAAGCAAGCAAAAACGTGCACAGTCACTTCTACAGCTTTCAGACACACATCCCTACAACTCAAGCACTTCAAAAGGCTTTCCCACTTAAAGCAGCACTCCCGTCGAGCCTCCAAGGCACAACTACGGAGTTCCTACAACTACACACACAACTCTGAGCCAGCATGCAGGACAACAAAGTTAACATGTCCTTAGACAGGAACTTTCGTCTGCACGCTGCGAGGCGTAGCCACCCGAAGGGGCTGTGGGTTCAAGTGAAACAAAAGCTTACTAAAACTGTGGGGTGAAACTGCCGGTAAGTTCCCCCTCTCATTCCTTGTCCTCGGTTTTGACGCACCGCTACCCTCAACCGAAGTGAGGCCGGAATGTCGTTTTGACCAAGTCGTTGCCATTGGCTTAAAGACTTTGGCCAAGGCAAATTGCCTGTATGCTTGCTCATTCTCTGTGTTGTCTATTCGGGAGGTGATCCATGCCCTCGCTCGTGGAGGCCGCTATCCCTCAACCGAATGGAGGTCATTCCTGTAGACCCAGATGCTCGTTCTACGAGTCTCGTTGCATGTCCTGAGTGCTTCCATCCACACCCCTCAACCGAAGTGAGGCCGGACATGTCTTCAAACCAGGTCATGGCCCAAGGCTTCATGGACTCTGGTTACGGTGGCTGCCTCTTGATGCACAGGGCATACTTCCTGTGGCTTTTGCCGGGAGGTGATCCATGCCCTCCGATTCTCAGAGGCCGCTATCCCTCTACCGGCGGGGTGGTCAATCCCCATATACAGACCGTTCCGATGAGGCCCAATTCTGCACTTTCTTGCTCACCTTGACGGATCCATGCCCTCGATTCACACATCTCCAACACGAGCCAAGCAGGAGGAACAGGTGAAGTACCTGCCCAAACATATCCCTTTTTAGGCTGGAGGACGCTAAGCGACCGAAATCGCCGCTACGCACCGGTGACCCCACGCCACACACCTTCAACAGGTGGCCGGTACAGGCGCCTGACAGGGGGCCGGGCAAGGTGCCGACTACCAGGTCAAACCCACCCTGCCAGTGAGGATATTATGTACGAGGCCGCTATCCATTGTGAGACTTGACATTCTCCAATCCAGCCGTAGCCATTGTTCAAGACATTCGGCTGGCTCTCTTGTTTGCCACCAAAACTCCATACTCTCACTTGGGAGTCGATTACCCTCAACCGAAGTGAGGCCCACTCTGCAACCACGGGTTAGCTGCATGCTTGGTCCTTGTGGGCATTTCTGAAAGCAGTGACAACGAATCCTTCACGGAGTACGTCCCGGCTAATCCAGGGTTCTCAGCAGCTCCGGTGTTCTCGCACTTACTAACCGTGCCTTGCTGTTCTCCCCAGAATCGCCCTGGCTTTCTCGCACTTACTCACCAGTCGACGTATTCCTCACCACAAAGTTCACTGCCATTTGGACTGGAGGCTTCTCCAGTGCAATGCTGGTACCTGCTCTTTGCTGGCCACCATGCCTGGCCAGTTTCCTTTATCCATATTCTGGAGTTTGCTCTTTCCATATCTCACATTCCCTCAGACCTAAGTCGAGGCCGAATGATTGCTTTGTGTGATTGAGCACTGCTGGGCTGCGGTTGTCTTCTATCAATTGCTCCGACACACCGGCACCGCGGAGTCTATGCTTCAAGCTCTTGACCGCTTTGCACCCAGTAGCATCAGCCGTCCAAGCTGCATGCAGTGCTTCCAGAGTCTCCCAGACTCAATTCCGGCAGACCATTCATGCCAGTGCCCGGCCTGCCCATTCCATGTCATGCTCGCAATTATCAGTCCCTCTTGTGCCCATGCGGCATCTTTTCCAGGAACTGCTTGCCATCATTCTTCCCTCAGCTGAAGCGAGGCCGGAACATCATGCACCGTTCTTCATCAGCGAGGCGTTTTCGCAACCCTTCTGTTGTTCCCTCAGCCGTGGCGAGGCCGAACCATCCATTCCCTCAGCCCGGCGAGGCCGAACCTTTGCTCCAGCATAGCGAGGCCGAAACTGCCCTTGCATAGCCTCACATGGCATCTCCGCTGGTTTCAGACAGGAACTTTCGTCTGCACGCTGCGAGGCGTAGCCACCCGAAGGGGCCGTTGGTCAAGGTGAAACTAAACTAAAAATTACCTCGCTTGAGGTGTTGCGTTCTCAGCTAGGCCCTCTCTCAGCTGCAACCCTCAGCACTCGCGAGGCCGAACTTTGCCTTCCGCATGCATTGCTGTTGAGGCACTTGTTGTGGCATCAGCCTCCGTAAGTTTGGCAATCCCCACTCAGCACTGGATGTTCTGTTCGAGAGACAGGAACTTTCGTCTGCACGCTGCGAGGCGTAGCCACCCGAAGGGGCTGTGGGTTCAAGTGAAACAAAAGCTTACTAAAACTGTGGGGTGAAACTGCCGGTAAGTTCCCCCTCTCATTCCTTGTCCTCGGTTTTGACGTACCGCTACCCTCAACCGAAGTGAGGCCGGAATGTCCTTTTGACCAAGTCGTTGCCATTGGCTTGAAGACTTTGGCCAAGGCAAATTGCCTGTATGCTTGCACATTCTCTGTGTTGTCTATTCGGGAGGCGATCCATGCCCTCGTTCGTGGAGGCCGCTATCCCTCACCGAATGGAGGTCATTCCTTTAGACCCAGATGCTCGTTCTACGAGCCTCATTGCATGTCCTGAGTGCTTCCAACCACCCCTCAACCGTAGTGAGGCCGGACATGTCTTCAAACCAGGTCATGGCCCAAGGCTTCATGGACTCTGGTTACGGTGGCTGCCTCTTGCATGCACAGGGCATACTTCCTGTGGCTTTTGCCGGGAGGTGATCCATGCCCTCCGATTCTCAGAGGCCGCTATCCCTCTACCGGCGGGGTGGTCAATCCCCATACATAGACCGTTCCATATTGATTGAGGCCATTCTGCACTTTCTCGTCATCTCACCTTGACGGATCCATGCCCTCGATTCACATCTCCAACACGAGCCAAGCAGGAGGAACAGGTGAAGTACCTGCCCAAACATACCCCTTTTTAGGCTGGAGGACGCTAAGCGACCGAAATCGCCGCTACGCACCGGTGACCCCACGCCACACACCTTCAACAGGTGGCCGGTACAGGCGCCTGACAGGGGGCCGGGCAAGGTGCCGACAACCAGGTCAAACCCACCCTGCCTGTGAGGATATTATGTACGAGGCCGCTATCCATTGTGAGACTTGACATTCTCATCCAGCCGTAGCCATTGTTCCAAAGACAGTCGGCTGGCTCTCTTGTTTGCCACCAAAACTCCATACTCTCACTTGGGAGTCGATTTCCCTCAACCGAAGTGAGGCCCACTCTGCGACCACGGTTTAGCTGCATGCTTGGTCCTTGTGGGCATTTCTGAAAGCAGTGACAACGAATCCTCCACGGAGTACGCCCCGGCTACTCCAGGGTTCTCAGCAGCTCCGGTGTTCTCGCACTTACTAACCGTGCCTTGCTGTTCTCCCCAGAATCGCCCTGGCTTTCTCGCACTTACTTACCAGTCGACGTATTCCTCACCACAAAGTTCACTGCCATTGGGACTCGAGGCTTTTCCAGTGCATGCTGGTTCCTGCCCTTTGCTAGCCTCCATGCCTGGCCAGTGTCCCTCATCCATATTCTGGAGTTTGCTCTTTATAGCTCACATTCCCTCAGACCAAGTCGAGGCCGAATGTTGCTTTGTTTGATTGAGCTCTGCTGGGCTGCGGTTGTACCTATCAATTGCTCCGACACACCGGCACCGCGGAGTCTATGCTTCAAGCTGCTTTACCGCTTTGCGCCCAGTAGCATCAGCCGTCCAAGCTGCATGCAGTGCTTCCAGAGTCTCCAATTACCTCGCTTGAGGTGTTGCGTTCTCAGCTAGGCCCTCTCTCAGCTGCAACCCTCAGCACTCGCGAGGCCGAACTTTGCCCTCCGCATGCATTGCTGTTGAGGCACTTGTTGTGGCATCAGCCTCCGTAAGTTTGGCAATCCCCACTCAGCACTGGATGTTCTGTTCGAGGCACATTCCCTCAACGCATGCGATGCCGCAAAGTGAAACACGTGAGGTATGAAAGAATGCTACTCCAGGTTCGTCCGCAGCTCCGGCTTTCTCGCACTTACTAGCCGTGCCTTGCAGTCTCCCCCAAAGTAGCGTCACCCTGGCTTTCTCGCTCTTACTCACCAGTTGACCAATAATGCATCTCACGCGGTTGCTTCATGGTAAACTGCAGCTCGAGGTTCCGGTGTTCTCGCTCTTACTAACCCGGACCGAACTGCAGAGAAGCATTACTGTTGTTCCCTCAGCGGAGGTGAGGCCGAACAACCATTCCGCTGCATCAGCGCAGCCGGGCCCTCAGCTCCTCACTGAGCCAGGGCTATCTCTAGACAGAGTTCCCTTGCTGGCAAGCCCTCTATCTCAATGTGACCCCCGCGGTGCCACGTATTAGCAGCTGCTCCGCGTGTCTTAGGACCACAGTTTCATTCGGATTTGTTTTGTAGGCCTTCCAGTGCTTGAGGCCGAGACCAAACACCACATCTCACGTCACACGGCGAGACAATTTGGCTCCAACATCCGAAGATAGTAACACATACTCTGCGTGGCGTCCGCGTGAGCTAGCCTGTCCTAGAGTTTAGGAGTTCGGCTCCTTTCATCGCTTGTCTTACCACAGGTCTCTTTCGGTGGCCCGTACTCAGCAGCCAGCACATGTACCATCCTCAGACGCCAGAGCCGCCTTGCCCCAGCAAGTGCCCATACAAACCACTCACCAGACAGTGAGAGCCAACATCTTCAAACAACCTCCAGCGGCCGTGCCGCGAGGACCTAAACATCTGCAAACGGACAGACCCCAGCCCTTGCAGGAGACGTGGATGTAAACAAAAGCAGGCCTGCCATGTCCAGCAGGCTGATTACCATTGGTTGCCTTCAGATGGGA